CATCTAACTTGGTTGTTTCCCCAAACCGCGTAAAGTCCTAGAATAGCGAATGACAAAATGGCTGGAAATATAACTAGTCAAGTCATATTTCACCAACTTTAAATATCGAATCAAACATTGCCCATGTGAAATTTAGGTCACACTAGACCAAGTATCGGCATCCATTATATTAACCAACATACATCGGTTCTTGATTAATTGGTTCACTCAAACCAAGAAAAATCTCTCTCTCTTAAAAGAGTGAAATACCGTTACAAGCGACTACGGTGAAGGCAATATCTAACCTAAATAACAGCAGTGAGCACATCGGCAGTTAGCGTATGAGATGTTACTTTTGAATAAAATTTGATCACAGCAAGATCACTGACATCGATGTGAAATTCAGGAATTTTCGTTCGGACAATGAAATACTGAGAGATGAATGATATCGAATATTATGGCGAGCGATAGTTCATATGGATCTCAACAACAAGACAGTTGAGAGATCCATTAGCTAAGGTCTTTGTGATCAAGGAAACAGCTCAGTGATTCAACAAATGGGGAAAGGGCGAATAAGAAAATCCTCGTAGATTAACAGGTAAGTTTACCGCAAACGGATAGCTTCCGATGAAGTTACTAAGTTAAAACTTCGATGGAAAAACGCTAGAAACATATCAGTTTACTGTTTGGCCTAACATAATCAGATAATATAAAGTAGAAACTGAGTGGTTGAATTTCAAATATACCAGTGATATTTATGTTTATCTATCACAGCGTCAATAAATATTCCCAGGATTAGATTCCTCGTGGATGTCTGTGGTTATTTTCCTAACCGGAGAATTTGTTTTGTAGTCTCTCCTAGCTCAGGTCAATGCAATGTCAGCTGATCAGGGAAAATTATGACGTCACTAAGCTTCAACCTCTTCCACCTGTTACATTTCCCTGGTTTCCATCCAATTTGCATTTATACCAAGGAATAGAAGATCTGATGGGGTCTTACATCGGGTACTTCAATCTCAATATTGTCATCAGTACGACGTATGGTATTACCTCTCCTACGTAAAGTCGTGGTATTTTCTGATTGGCAGGAGCAAATATTGTTTTAGGTGCGAAGTTATTTTCGTATTTCGCGAATATGAACTCCTAACTCCATCTTATTCAGGCTATATTGGGGGACGACGTTCGGTTCCGCATGAACCGAAATGTTAATAGTTTGTCGCGTGATATAGCAAGGTTGGGTAAGTGATCGAGTTCCAAGCTACAACCGAGTATGACTAACTAAGCCGCTTGCCGAATCAAAGTATCTTACATGGCTTGTCTGACAAAGCGTTTACAATTCTCCATACAAATCAAGTCAGCTCAATTTAAATAGTGTTTTTATTTTTGAACAATGCTGGAGTCTGAACCCAATGTATTTAACATACGATGTGACCACAGTAATGGCCGGCACATCCCGGTGATTTAAAAAGCAACTTGCGTATCGGTGAATATGTTTCACTGATTAAATTCAGATGGATAATAAACCTTGCTAAGGCCTTACTAAAATTGCTCTTGGAATAATTTTTCACCAAGGGCAGCAAACATACCTCTACTCTCCGAGGAAATTGAATGCGGACATTCGCAATCGAATATATCAGTTTCACACGGCCAGAGATGAATATCGTTTCTAATGCGCGAACCATGCATGCTGGTCGATGTTTTGCATCTACTGCTTAGTCAGCAAACAAAACCTACGTATCGTGTTTGCGAAACCAGGGTAGCTTATAACTTAGAATACCAGGATCGGCCTTCGACAAACACTGACATGTAAATGTTAGTGGGATTTTATAGTTAGATTTTATCATAAGCGTATTTGTGAAAAGAGGCAATCCGACAACATTGCTCTTACTGGGATATTCTATACGATGAGGAGCATATAAAACCAGTTGAACTTAGAAATAAATTTAGTATGAACATCGCAAGCTTTCTGAAGATATTTGAATGTCATAAATAAATTAGGTGAGATCGCATGTATCGGATTGATATATACGGAATGTATTATGCATTTTAAATTAGTATTTCAAACATTAACATTAAAAATATCGAACATTCTGCGACCTACAACGTGAGTCATTGCATGCATATCTAAGATACAAAACTAATAAAATACCAACACCAGCCCCTCGAGCCACGACAGCATAGGCTATATAGCTCGATTGATGCTCTGAACCCATTACTACTAAAGCCAGTTTAAAAGTGTTAGTTACCGGAAATGTGATTCGCGGTGATTATTACCTCTCCGCAAACCTACTGAGAAACAGCAGACACAAAGAGTTAATATTTCAGGTTTCGTCGCAACTGAACCTCGGCTAAACGAGCTAGGACGATATAATGAATTCCCTCGGTAATTCAATATGCAACCAGCAACAACCGAGCCCTTACTACGATTAATCTTTGTAACTTTTGATAAAGCCAATGCATGTGCTGCGTTTCCGACCATTCGCGCGAGAAATGAGACTTCTGTACTGGTCCTTCATATTTGCGGCTGCACCGTTTGTTTTTCGATGTAGCTTCATGGGCGATAAATAAAAGTGAATAATTTATAATTGAAGTATTCTAAAGAAGTCAACTGTTTGGTTGGTGGGTAGAAAGGATGTTAAATTATAGAAATTTCGGCGTGGTTGCTTTTACTAAGCACGACTTTTATCGCAGTTTCAAAAAAGAGTTTTTCTGTGTTTTCCCAAAATATTAAGGATTACTAAGTTCCGACAAAATTCCGAATACAATTCTATCTCCTATTCGGAACATGGTTTATAAACGGCCCTAGTATGATTCATAGATACAGGGACAAACAAGAACTCTACCTGCAATACTGTGGCCACTGACCTTTCCTTTTAGTCGAGCACAAGATATAAGACAGTATAATTATTTATATTATCAACATTTGTTTCAGTTCCTCCGCAACCAAAACTATAAACAATGAAAAAAAAAACGCGGGGAAAAAACTATCTTTCCCGCCCATAATACATTTGAATTTATTCTGTATTCAGTTTCGACAAGGGATTGAAGCAGAATATCACATAGAATTACCACGGCATTTCACCAAACATATTACATGACTCATTTTAGGCTTTGTGTGTTTTAATAAAAGACCAAGATATATAAATCGAAGTAACAAAAAGTAACAAATCTTAGATCGCGTTATATGAGGGACATCATCTTTGGATTTATCTAAAATAGGCCTTAACCCAGAGCGAAACCTATCTTTGCATATTGTGATCGCGTAATCCTTTAATACGTCTTTCTTTGCTCTTGGAGTGAAAGGCAGGCCCGAGTATCTGGCGTAAGAAAGGCAGAGTACACAATTTAATTAAATATGTGTATACAGTAAGACAAAAACACCGCGATACATAAGTTATGATTTTCGGTAACACTTCGAGTTCTGTGCTCAGTTAATCAGTTAATAGTTGCGACATCTGTGAGTAATCGGATAGTACATATTGGATATTTCATCTTCCAAGAAAGAAAGAACATAGCTAATCCCCCATCCTACTTCATGATTACTAAATTACGTACTTCGTGGTCTATCGTGTATTATAAAGCCCCGCCACATCAAACATGAAAATGTGAATGATCAAACATTATCAATCCGTGTTCTGGGAGTATGCCCGCAGTAATGAGTTACGTTTCACTTTCTTGCGAACATGATTACGAAATTCGGCCATTCCCAATTATTTATGTTTGGCGATATGTGATCGATATCAACTAATTTCAGTTAAGGATTCGTTATCTTTATAGATCGTCGTGATTCGTTTAAAATTAAATTACTTTGGACTAAAGAGTTGATATCGAACCATGTATCTCTCATATTGGGCCATTTCATTTATTTTGCTGCACTTTTTTCACAGTGAAATAGAACAGAGAATCTTATCCCACGTGAAACCTTTTTCCTCAGTTCAACGTACTGTCTGGCCCCGTGGAATGTTCAGCGATCGAATTTGCTCAATATCCAAGAATAACGGTACATATAACCATAGCTATTTTATTTTCCCGAGTCGTCACCCAAGGCTAGAGTTCCATTCCGGGGAAATAAATTTACATTTCTATGACTATTGGTTGAAGCATTATAATATCTTGAAAATATAACATATAACATTCACCCACCGAATGTTTAAAAGTTGGGCTAATTAGCTGAATAGATTAACATGTCATTGAATTTGACCAGAACCTTTGGCCATGGATAATCAGTACATAGGCCACAAGAAAGAAAAGGATAGAATACTGGAAATTGTTATCTAATTTTACCGCTCATTTCTAAAAAAATAGCGCGACTTGCGAGCATTTTCTTTGCTTTATCATAGGGGAATCCCCAGGCGAGTAATTTTATTTTTACAAAACGCTGACTGTGTTTGTCTGTGACGTCAAACGTGACGTCAACTTTTTAAGCTGCGCCCCTATTTAGAATTTGTCAAGTCTCGCGCCCTTTATAATGTAGAAATGGACGCAACCGGCTCTTAGTCTTAGTCGTTTGCAATACGCGTTATTGCGTCCACGATGTTCCGGAATTCACAGTGTGTTTACTTACAGTCTGCTGTATAAGTATTTTCATTTTATGACGCCTCTGCACATGTTCATTGGGGGCAAGGCGTCGTACATGTAGCCACTGACGTGTAGGGAACTTATTTTTTCGGTAAATCCGGAATATCTCAGGTTCGACATTGTTGATTTATCGCACACTGACTAAGGCGGCGGACTTTGAGAATGAACCGAGACGTTTGCCGTGCGTCTGAAGCGCCTGAAGTCGTATTATCAAGATAAAATATGTAAGTATCTGTTCATTTATTCACGTAAATACATCATCCTACCAGCGATGCTATACTGAAACTGTGTTGTGTTGCTAAAACTTGTGGTAAAGGCCTCGAAATACCAAAAAAATATAGGTTTTCGCAATACACGGTTTTTTGTTTATGACGTCACACTCAAGTAAAAGTCTGTTCCGTCATAATCATATTTTGTTTAATTCCGTTTATTTTATAAATCTGACTTTGTTCGTTGCTTTAAGAGCAGCGAACAAAAAATAATACTTCAAGTTCAGTTTTTGCTTGAAAATGTTTGTTTTAGGCTACTTGACAAAAAATTACGGCTGACTCTCTGAAGCCATGGAAAAAGAAAAGATGAAAAAGCGTTCAAACGCGGCAGACAGTCTAGATACGGAAGGGAACAAAATAAGAAAAGTTTCGAACTCTGTGAACTCTTCTAAGCAAGGAAATGAGAAATTGAGACCAAATGACGTAGGTTTGACGTAACAATAAAATGTCATATAATTGAGACCTTGATTTGAGATTGTTCAATTTGCATGGCTCATTGGCCGCTTTGCCGACATTTATCTGCCCATTGCTCGGAACTGAGCCACCGTTCCACACCTCCACTAATTCTATATTAAACCAGACTTCTTGCTTTTACCAGGTCATGAAATCAGCGGAGAAGAGAAGCTCGCTCGATGTTTTGTTAGAGGGAATGACGAATGTTGAACTCGGAGAAGACTTGGAGACGCTGATTACAAGGTCGAGGTTAAGGAGAAGAAATGAGGTTTGTTGCGGATGATTCTTATTTTAAAGGGCGATAAAACTTGTGATCAGCCTGCGTGGCTGTCAGTAACAGTGCGCGGAAACCTGGTTATCGATGCGCGACAGACCGCCATTTTGTCCAACCATACATAACTAATACACAGCATGTTGTTATTATTGCTTTCGCTATTTATTCTAATTCTCGTTGTCAAAGTCCCAAAGTATGGGTATGTCGGAGGACGTCGATAGACAAATAGATATTTGCGCAAATCAATCGGCATTCATTATCATTCTTCCAAATTTCCAGGAATACGTAGAATCTGCCTCAACCAGTCGCGACAGTTTCTCACCAATCGGAAAAGGTAAGAATCACTTTACAGATAAAACATTGGGTAATTGCGTACATCACCCATCAGATACTATCCGCCTATGAAATATAGTAAATAGACTATAGAACTCGCATGGTCGCGTATACTTGTTCATAGTTTGGCCAACCTCAGGAGATGACATATCAAACATCTAAACCGCCATTACTATAATTTGGACATGACATCAACTTGCGCCACCTAACGTTTAATAAAACCTGCAACTGTTAAATAATATCAAAACGAATGTGTTTTAGTTACTATCGCTCCGAAACCGCCTGTTGCCATGGATGATGCCATAGAATCAGATGCCGATGCAAGTGACGCAGAATCTGAGTTTTGTCCTGCTTGGTCAAGTTCTCCCGGAAGCAGTTCGACGAGTCTCGATGACATCGAAGATGACATGGGTAGTGACGTCATCTATGACAGAGAAGGAGCGTATTTCCTTCCGGAGAGTGAGATTGATTTCACGATGGAGAATTCAGATGATGACGGAAGTCTGCAGTTTGCAGATATACAAGAGTATGAAGATATAAAGAGAAGTACGCGGCGAATATTAATTATTATAACATACTATTCTTTACTCTGTCCATTTGTTTCTAGTTCTCTCCAAGAAATCAGCGTTTTCTGACGTCACGAACCTCCCGATTCCTGCGGCCGGAAACGAAAAAGAAAGAACTATGTCGTCACAAACAACAAGCTCAGATGGGCGGAACAGTCCTGTCGCAAAATTCAAGTAAGTCTCAGTCTTCGTGGAAGTCAGGATTACCACAGGGATCCCATTCAAACAAGACACCCGTAAAAGCGAAGAAATCCGGTACAATTAGAGGATAGGCTATGTACAATAGAAAGGTTTCTTGAATATGTCTTGTCTTCCCAAGAGTCCGCAGGTATCGATGTTTGCTGGCAACATCCCTCGTACTAGGTGAACACAAATGCATGCCTATAAAATCTTATGTTTTAAAATAACTTTCAGGCCGCAAGCGATCAGGAGAGTTAAGAGCATGATATATGAGGTTGCGATGGATAATGAGATTGATGCGGGACAACGGTCCAAGGTTCTATTACGTAAGCATGCTCGCGACGTTACACCTTCACAAATATCGATGTCGCCTTCACCATTGCTGTCTGCGGAAGATGCCGGATCACTGAAGGTATCCACTTTTATTGGTTCACATTCGAGATCTCATAGTGCAAAGTTGTTAATTTTGTTTCACTAATCGCGAGTCGCTTTTTCGTGTCATACGTAAATGTAACCGATAGCAATTTTCTATTTCCAAAGCGTTCGCCTTCTCAAGTCAGTTGTTGCAAGTTCAGTTTGAAACGTTCCCGATCAAACCTGACGGTCGCTGAGAACTACATCAAGAGGCATCCCATATTTGAGGGTGACGTCATCCACGAAGAAAGCGATGATGACGTTAGCAGTGACGCAGGAATTGAAATGAAAATTGAGACTGATGGAGAAGTGACATCACGGAATAGCGACGTATAACTCTGCTTCTTAATTATATATTTATGCTGCGGGTCCGCGAAATAATAAAAACTCATTTAATTACTGTTGTTTTTCGGTGAATCAGTCAATATATACGAAGCTCGTGATTAGGCTTGCACGTAATTGACAAAAATCAATTCCGTAATTACGGCCAAATCGATTACGTAATGTCCCCGTAATTGCGATATTTTTTCACACATTTGAACCTATCATAGCAACCAATTGAATCCACTTCATTTTCGATTGGGACATCGAGTTTGGGTTTTCATATTCCTGGCAGTACTACACGCCGGCGACAGATGTTAAGACAAGAGTGAATTCAAATTAATTTTATTCTGATTTTTATCTTTTGTGCTAGCTGCGATTTCCTTTATCACCTTCGCAAATTAACCGTCCCAATTTCATGCGATCAATTTTATCATTACCGACACTGGTATACGGATATTTATGAAACGATAGTTGACTTTTTTAAAATCGTATTAAAAAAAATGTCGGGTTTCCAATTTATCAATGCCCCGACGAGCGTATTCTCTCGTTTGATTATACTTGCGCTTGCCTTGCGACGAAGACTTGTTATTGCACCGTTTTTAACATTATTCGTCTTTAAATACCTAGTCAGCATTTTATAATAATTATTTATGCCGACTTATTGACGTTATTCCGATTACCATGCTTCATTTCACATTAAACCATTTCGCGGCCTAAATATTGTAACATTATTTGCGACAAATTTAGATCAAATATGAATTATTTGCGCATAATTCAAATACCATATGACATGGCTTTTCCGAAAATACAAAGTTATATTGCAAAAAAATGCATATCGTGACATTTATTTTGCACTCACGAAAAAATTAACCTATTTTTCTAACTCAAGTCGACGATCCTATCGGCCAAGATTGACACAAATTTGGTCGAGTGTCGGTGGTATTCAAGAATCAAAATAAGTTGCCGCATTTGGTAAAGACAGTTAATCACATTTGGCCGAAATATTGCGAGGCATTGTGGAAAATATATTGAGCAAGGACAAGTCCGGACTGATATAAAACGATAAAACCGGTAACAGAACATCAAGGTTTTGTAATTGAAAATGGTTCTCGCACAGAATAAACACACTGGCTCATACTTGATATTTGATAGTAGTTAAATTGAGAATATTGAACTGTTAAAAACAAAAAAACGATCGTCGAAATTCTTAAATCTTGTTGCCTTGGTTAAATATAATCCAATGATCAGGACATTTTCAATTAAATACTGCACAAAGATAGTTATACATTAAACATTTAGGCCACAATTCAGCTTTTTTTTAAATTTTAATCATGCATTGTGGTGGAGAAATCCCACTATTTGAATACGGGTAACTATAAAAATAGAATAGGATTCTGGATTCGATTTAAGTATTCTAAAACAGTGGTTCCCAACCGCCGGTCCGCGGACCGTGAACGGTCCGCAAAGGATTTTCACCGGATCGCGGGAAATCCCGTCATATTGTTGTCATATTGCTAATTTTTACCGGATCGCGGGAAATCCCGTCATATTGTTGTTTCTCTGCCGTCTCAATCGCTTTACCGATGCCTAAAAGACGAAGTTGCGTTGGTTCATTACGCAATTTCTCTTTCGTCGTCATATTGCTGTTTGATAAGCGAGACATTAATTATCACGGTGACGTATTGGCAAGAGAGAGAAAAGTGAGAAAAACGGCTGCAAATACCGAAGCTCTAACTTCTTCTACTTTTTAAACTTTCACTTTTTACAATCGACGGAATTGACTGCTTTGAAGAGAGCTCGTTTCAATCGCGAAAGCGCTCGACCAATAATTACGACTTTACGTAATTCGTAACTTCCCTTCCGTAACTCGAAATAATTCCGTAAATCTGTAAATTACGTGCAAGCCTACTCGTGATTAAAATAACAACAAAGTACTAGTCATTGGTTGTTGTTTATAAGAAAAGTGTCTTGTATGAAAATATACCGGGCTGCTACAATAATGTTCATTGCTAAATATCTGTGTCTCACTCAATTTTCAACCGATATCAACATAAATTGTTTTCAATATTTGAAAATCGATTTATTTGCAATACTGAAGTTGGAAAAATTAACCAAACGATACATATTTATTGATGACGAAATATAAAATACTGCTCAACTCTTCCGTGATAAAAACAATCCAAAATCAAAATATCCAGGATGACTTCATATTCTCATTTATTACTACATGAAACGATTTACATATTTCTCACTATTACTACATTTGAATTAATGACATTTAAAATAGCAGATAGCACGTCGATATTGTGAAGGAGCTGGCAACAATAGTCGGCAAATCTATTCAAGAAACAAATTAACTATTTATCAGCGTGTTCAACACTGACAGGTACAGGACCGGTTCTTGATGCTTCTATCGCAGGAGCAGAGCATACTTTCGTTGGGGCGTCGATTTGTAAAACTCCAGCGTTTGTTAGAGAGGATGTCAGCTTTTCTGCGTCGACACCCTGCGGAAGAGTGAATGCACGCTTGAACTCTCTGCAAAAAAAAACGAATCGTATTAATGGGTATAATAGAAAGTTTGGGTAAAATCACGGATAAAGTTTTTGTCATGAATAACACTCAACCCCAGACAAACGACCACTTATCCGTTAATAGTCTTTCTTGCTTTAGGGAATGAAATAAACGCCCATCACGGTTGATAATTATATACTGGGAAAAAAAATTTATGATTCAGTAACTCCATTATCACAGATAGAAGTGAAAATTATTTTGTCCCCACTCATAGAAGGCGACAACGAAAAAGTCTTCGATTGGCCTCACAGAACTGTGATTTTTGAATATATTGCCATCTCTCAATGAGCGAAAGTGACCGTTTTTCCGAGTAATCTTATTGAAAGCTGCAGGATGCAAAACTATCAGTAAATATATATTTAAAACTATCAAATTTGATAAATATATTTTATGGGTACTCCTGAATTATGAGCACCAAGATGTCGCATAACCTGAACCCTAACCTGATAGACAACCAGAGTTCAGGTTGTGCGCCATCTTGGTGCGCATACTTCAGGAGGTCCCTTTTATGTGCTATAAGACAATCCGGGCAAACGATTGGAGAAATTATAGAAGATGGAGTATCCGACAGCCAATTACTGGTACTTGCCAATTGATTGACGTCATTGATAAATCGTGTTAATGATATGCGCCGTATGTACGGTCCATGCATGGCAAAGGTTAGTATCATTTTCGGCTTACCTGAAACTATAAGCATACATTCCGTCGTCTTCATTTTTATTTTCACGTTTTGCGTGAACAAACACCTGACCTCCTTGAACTTTGACCTTTACTTCTTCCGGGCGGAAGTCTTGAACGTCGACTTTTAGAGAAAAATCCTTTGCTTTTGGCGTGATTACTGAAAATGTATAAATAAAAATATGTTAATCCATTTCGTGTAGTTGTAAAAAAGTATTTGGTGTTTTGCGAGTTGACCCCGTTAAAACACCGTGGTTGGGATACTAAATGGAATCACTTGAACAATCTTGGCCATATCAATCGCAACAAATACTTGAACACTCCGCCGATATCAGCAAGTTGTGAACAAACCTTCTTGCTTGCCTTCATGTTCGACTTCAACTTGTTGTCTTCCGAAGAACTCTTCGTCGTCAAGAAGCGAAAGAATTCCAGAGAACCTGAAAATAAGTAGCTTTGGCCATTCCATTTCCACTCAATTTGAAACAATTGACAACGTTTTTCAGCATCGGTTAACAAAAACAAAACGGTAAACTCGTGCCTAGGTCTGACTAACCATTACGTCAGTCTTACAGTTAGTGACGCTTGCTCAACCACTTCACATCTTTAGCGTTAAAAATCCCTTCGTCGATGATGGCACGTGAATGCAGTAATATTATCTCAAAATTCACAACATGGTATTAAAAGAGCAACAAAGGGATAATTTATAAAAAGCATTGACATTTGTTTTTCTTCGGTTTAATCATATTCCCCCATAAAAGAATCGAGAACAGATTCATACCTGGAATCGACTCTTCGAACCATCTCTTCAAATTTTCGTTCCATTTCGAAGAATTGTTCGCTTCTATGTCCAAACGGCACAATGTCTCTTCTCCTTCCAGTGTATGGAGTCATCCAGTCACGTGATGAAGATGACGCCATCAAATCAGGAGATCCCATTAGATCTCGTGACGTCATACCTACATCCCAAAGAGGATCACGAAATCTTCGACGTGAAGACCAGAAATCATTGAATGGAGTTAACGCCATTATTTATATAAAAAGCTTATTATCTTATGTCAACAAAACAGGAAATAATGGTTGATGTACACCAAACTGCACTCAAACTATCTTTTGCGAAATGTATCAACTAGTATGCACTCTGACTGGATCTCGTGACTTTAACGTTACAAGACTTCGGGTCGCAGGTTTGCCTCGAAGTTTTATCGGAAGCTCGTGGAACTCCTAATTGACTGCAATAATATGCCTTCGTCTCCTTCATATTTCATAATTTCTATCCCATCGTTAACGAAAAGCCGCAGGAAGGCTTGAGACTCTGGCTTAGAACCGGTAAATAACAACTGAAAATCCGACTATCATTTTTCTTATAGATTTGACCAACTTACAAGTTATTTTAGCCATCACGTAGCCAGAAACAGAAACCAAAATTTGTCACTGATACAAACAAAACTGTTGAATGCCTAAGTGAATTCAATGATTATACGCTGGTTTAATCTTCACTAAACTCTGAAAATAACACAGTAGTGGTAGAAAAAGCTGCCACTTAGGAGATATTTTCGCTACACTACAGCATGTAGGCAACTAAAGACATTTAAACACGAGTTCAACTTTAGATTGGCAGAGAGAAGGCAACCACTACCAACTGTATTATGACGTGACACTCCGCATGCGACATCGACACAATCACTTGGGAATTACGTCATTGTCACTTCTAGCATTATAGTAACTCGTTAACACCTTAGATAAGGTGGTCATCCGTGAATGTCGATATGAATTTGTTGAATAATAAGTTCAATATCCTATTCGTAATGCCACAAATACGGTATCTTTCTAAAATTTCTAACGAATGCTATTATGCATCTGGGGTGTGCTATCTTATTATGTGAGTTCAGTGGTTTTGTATGGGAATCATTTCCTAAAATAGAGATTTTTTAATGTCAAGTGTATTCATGAAGTAGCCTAAAACGAAATAATTGAGTCATTTACTGGTGATCTAAGCTTTTTCATCTGTTTTCGTTTTCACTTTTTCTCGAGGTTTCTGCAAAAAAATTCCCATCTAAAAGTGCTAACGTTGTTGCAATCCCCGCCGCGATAAAAAAAAAACTATTTGGGAGATAATTTTCAATGACCGGACATTAAAATATTTGGAGAAATATTAATAATGAAATCATATTTCAGCTATATATTTTTTGATTTATCCCCATTTATAACCTTTTTTAATTTGGATATCTGTGCTTCGACATAAAATACACATTGCAAATATATTTGAAATGCCAATCCAAATAAAAAAGGTTTATTATAAACGTGATATGATTTGCGGTATAGGTGTTATGTGAAAAACTTTCGCATTGTCTTTTAATTAACTGCACGCCAACAAATTGTAATCAATTTTGCAGCATTCTCAAAAGTGTAACGTAGTCCGACCTTAACTGAAGCGTCCCTCAGCATTGTATCTTCAGAGAAAATGGGACCGACCAAACATAAGGTTGTTGAATCGTATTGTTTTTTTTCTGCAATTTCAATTAAGATGGAATTTACATATTTATCCCTAGATAGATGAAAGAGGATAAGTCCACTTAATCATATGGCGAACCACGGCCTCCCGTCCGGTGACAAGTCCGCGTGTTGGGTATGGGATTAGTTAGCCAGTTAATTTTTTTCAGATGCGTGGACTTGATGATGGAGGAATCTGTTACCGACCAGCGGTTACGTGAACAACCTACGGTGGCGAGGAGTCCTAGCGAAAGAGAGTTAACCTCACATGAAATTTCCGTTTTGGGCGGGACAGTCCCACTTTTCAACGTCTTGTCCCGGCCGGTCAGCTGAAAGTCCCGCTTTGGCGCTCAGCCAGTCGAAATATTACACGAACATTACCAATTAGCATGTTCTCTATACTGTTGTTGCTGTGTAGCCCACTTACCGAAGGTGAATGCGTGGTTTTGATTGTTTCGTTGTTTTAATGGCTACAATTTGCTACGTGTAAGCCAAAAGAGTTCTTAACGTTAACGTAAATTCCTTTCTAATTTTCGATATTTAGAAAAACCGATATTTAGACAGACAGCGCACGAACTCTCGATGACAATATGGAAGACGGCCGGGATGGTTTTAAATGTAGGCCCTTAATGTAAAACCGGTAAATTTAAAGCGAAAAAAATCACAGCTATGGTCTTTGGAGGCGTCCCGACCCAAAATATGGTGAATAGAGAACACCTCGCTCCTGTCAGTTGCCAGTCGCGTTATTCGTTTCCGTTTTGCTGGACTGTTAAAAATGGTTATTTCGTATAGTGCTGTACGTATAAACAACGAAATGGATCTTCAGTTGTATTCCATTGTTTTCAAAAGTTCTGGAACGTCGCACAAGGTGGATATCATCTATTGGGAAAACTGGTTGGTGTCCCAGCCATCTCGTTCGTGTTTGGGGCAGCACTTCGTTGGTGGTAGGTGATGATGTGCCGTTATTGATTTCCTTAAATACTCATAAGCTCCGTCATTTTAATGGAAAACTTATGACATACTACCGTTATTGGTAGCATACTTGCATTTCAAATTGAAAGAAATCTTCATCAATGGTCAGAAGACATTGTTTCGTTAGTTAGCATGTAATCTATCACTCTATTTATAAGCGTGAAAAGTTGAATAAATCAAGTTTAACAAGACTGAAACCTTCACTACTAGAGCCACCGACACAAAAAATTTTGCTTGATAGGACCGTACTGTGTTAAAGTCGCATTCTTTCAAGCACATTGAACACTTTATCTCCACTGATTCAAATCCACAGCCATAACAAGTCACTTGCCATAATGATTAGCATCAAGAAATGGATACTGAGGATGTATTATCGAGTCATACAAGCTGAGATCTTGTGCCACTGTGGTCTTGTTGCAACTCATACTTTGCCATCCCATCTATTTCATGGTCACATCCATATCTGTAAAATATTGGATACAAATTCATTCAGTATCATGACCCTGTACTAGCTTTGTAATAATTGTGGAGTTTTCATAAAATCTAACATCAAGTGGTGAGATTTATATCCATGTCTTACCGCATAGTCCGACATTTGTTAGTACTATCAAAATCAACCAACTTTTTAGCACTAGTCGCAAATGAATTTGATTCCAGGTAGCATATTTCATCTCCCTTGGGTATCAGTGGAGAGGATTGGAGGTGAGGCGGCTTCATATGGCGGACCACAGCTTATCCCACGATTATCATTTCATGTCGGGATTAGTTAGCCAGTTATTTGTTTTCAGAGACATGGACTTGATGGTGGAGGATGTCGTAACCGACCAGCGGTTACGTAAACCACTCTCAGTGGGAGGAGAGGAGTCCTGCAATCCTCTCGCACATAACTATCCCCGCATGGGATTGGAACCTCTGAAACTACCAACGTAATCAAAGATGCGGTGGCGAGCGTATTCCTACATGGCAAATTCTGGTTATTTTTTGCATGACCACTGGGGTTAAACTTGAGTTATCTATTCAACTTTTCACACTTACTAATAGTGTACCATAGATTACCTCCAAACTAGGGAAACAATGGCAATTGATGACTGATTTCTTACACAAGTCAAGTGGACCTGACTAAAATTTCCATTAAAATGGCGGAGCTTATGAATATTTAGAGAAATTGATAACGGCACATTATTACTCACCACCAACGACAACGAAATGCTGTCCGCAAACACAAGCGATATGACTTAGACATCAAATAGTCCTGCTAATAGATGATATCCGCCTTGCTCGACCTTCCGGATCTTTTGGAAACTTATGAAAAGTAACTGAAGATCCATTGCGTTATCTATATGCTACGTACAGCCAAACGGCACAAGACGAAATAACCATTTTAACAGCCAAGCAAAACGGAAACGAATAACGCGACTTGCAACTGACAGGAGCGAGGTACGTTTTTTTTGCCCCTCAAAATGGCGGCGTAAACAAAGTCACGTGATTCGTGCAAGTCCTCTATATATCATCTGATCAGTTTTATTTTTTCTGCTATGAATATTAAAATATCATGACTATTTTATCAACATTTTCAGTTGCTTTTCCAACGAATCGCTGACGATAATCGTTTATTTTGATGACGTCAAAATAAGTGAAGCGTAGTATGATTGACAGCCATATATCGATCGTTATCGCGTCAGGGTATTTTTCGGTTTGGTGTTTTGTTGGCAGCTTATTCAGTTATTGCAGTGTTACCGGTAGCGCTTTTGTACAGAGCGGTATTTTGGTAGATTGTACGGTATGAATTCGTCTGGGGTTTTTGGTATAATGTAGTCCATAAGTCGGTAGCGCTGACAGCAACATCAGATATCAGGGGTCTCCCGGCGCGGCGGTGTGGCTCAACGGGCTAAGCGTTAGGAATACGCTCGCCACCTCACCTCTAATTACTCTGCATGGGTTCGCAGGTTCGAATCCCATGCAGGGATGGTTATGTGCGAGAGGATTGCTGGACTCCTCGCCGTCGTTGGGTGGTTCACGTAACCGCTGGTCGGTTACGGCTTCCTCCACCACCAAGTCCATGCTTCCGAAAACAAACAATATAACTAATCCCATACCCGACTTGGAATGGTAACCGGACGAGAGGCCGTGGTTCGCCATATGGATAAGCCGTCTTATCGGCTTTCCTCTCCCCCGGGATAAATATGTAAATCCTATCCTATCCTATCCTATCCCTAAAACCAGGCACTTGCGAATTCAGGCACTCAGGTATATTTCATTTTTACTGTATGGTACGTCATTGGGGTTTCCAATTTGCTTGACAAAATAATTTGACTTTAAATAAATTTTTGCATCCCTGTATTGCGATAAAACAATAATATTTCCTTTTATTAGGGGATAATTAATTTTTCAATAGTAAAATACGGCAACGATGAATACAAAATATAGACTATAAATCAGGCACTTGCAGACTTGTGAAATTTCAGGCACTTGGTCAAAACCTATTTTACAATGATTCTGATTACTTTAAAGCAAAAAATTAAATATACATACTTTGTATGATTAAATTTACAACATTTTGTTAAAATACATTAATGTTTGTGACTGGTGGAGACGTGTCAAATTTCAAATTTCGCAAGTGCCTGATTTTTCATTTTTCCCGATGACAGTTGCCATATTTTTTCACAATTATTTTCTTAAATTATTTGCATCAGAACTTACTATTCTTTGCTTTCTAAGGCAAATTTGTTGTTCCACAACAATTTGATCATTTTTTTAAGAAAATGAGCAAACCCCAATAACTTACGGGAAAAATAAAAAAATCAATTTGCCTGAAATGGTGCCTGAATTTGCAAGTGCCTGGTTTTAGGGATATCCAGATATCAGGCTGGTTCACGTGCAGACAGAAATGTACGGTAACCCTGTCTGCCTTTACAGTTTCCTCCACCATCAAGTCAATGCTATCGAAAACAAATAACTGGCTAGCTAATCCCATGTGGTACCTGACCTGGACTGGTAACCGGATGAGAGGCAGTGGTTCGCCGTATGATTAAGCCGTCTTATTCACTTTCCTCTCTCCCGGATTAAATATGTAAATCCTACCAGTACCAGTATCCCATCAGGATATACCATAGGCAGGTAGATGTCTCGTGTATTGTACAAGAGTGTTAGTTGTATATTTCATTTCTGGTGTCCAACTATAACGCAGCAGTCCTAAATTGCAGTTATACCGGTACCGTTACGGTACTTGTTGGGACTGACGGACAACTAGGGATGGGCAATGTAGAATAATTTACTATTCTAGAATATTCTAGAATAGTTAAATCGAATTCGGAATACTATTTTCATACTTATTCAAATAGTGGGAATTTCCACATTGCTGGATTTAGATATTAAAAAATTGCAATGTATTACTTACTATAAATGTATTATTTATTTGGAAATGTCCTGAACATTGGATTTCATTTGATACTAAACAGGCAGTTCCCAGGACAATAAAATTTAGGAATATCTTTTGCCCTCAATTGTTCCAAATGTATGTTATCCCTAAATTCTAATAAATACTGATATGCTAAACTAAGACGCGCTTTACACACTTTAATAGTAAGCGGTTAAATACAAAATAGACATGAAACGGCGTTAAATCATTATTAATGTAAGTCTGTCGAATGTACTAAAACATACCCACTGAGAATTAATTAGATGCAGAGCCAGCGTGTGGCCACTGCAACCTATGCGCCGTTGTAAAATATTAAATTCAACCACTATCAATTAAAATCAACTTTTTATTCTGTGCGAGCAAGACACGTAAAACCAAGTTCCCGTAAACGCGATTTCGTACTTAGTTTTTAGGTAATAACATCTAAAGACGAACTCATTTTCTATGATTATCGTTACATATCATTATCTACCCAGACTTGGCCCTACTAAAATTCAATACGTCACTATCTTCGCCAGATGCCGCAACTTTTTTCAAAATTCATCCGCCGTCTAAAATACTACAGACTTTCGATCAAACGTGCATCTATCTTGAACGATAGAAATGTTATCATTAATCATTATCTACCCAGACTTAGCCCTACTCAAATTCAATATGTCATTAGCTTCGCCAGATGTGGCAACTTTTTTCAAAATTTATCGGCGACTAAAATACTACAGACACTCGATCAAACGTGCGTCTATCTTGAACGATAGAAACGGACCGAAAAATATGTAATCTTTTGAGAGTGAAATTTAAATGTGACAGATGTTCGCGTTCTGCGATATAACTTTGTATTTCGGAAAATGTTATAATAAAATGATTAGTAAATAATATTTGATCGAAGTAATGTTATAACATTTAACGCCTGGCTTTTGGTTTACGTGCATCATTTTTTTGGAAAACTCGTAGGTCGCGAAAAATCATTTAATTTAAAATGAAGCAAGGCACGTCTGTAAGCAATTAAAGATTGTTGCATTCAGATTCAGATTATCGGACTATCACCAGTGAGTCGGCACAAATAACGCTAGCTAGATAGCAAAGAAGGAAAACGCAAAAATGGTGCAATAACGAGTCTATGCGTGAGGTTATATTGCCGACTTCTTGTCCCTGAATATGCCGATTGAAATTACAGTGTTTGATGTTTACCGATTTACGGGTTCTTTGCGAGCAGCACAAGTTTAATTAAACGAGAGAGATTTCCACACGAGAATAACGCTCGTCTAAATTGATAAATTAGAAACCCGAAATACAAAAATTGACGCATGGCGCCGGAAAGGCGGAAACCGAATCCTGTTATCGGATCCCGTTGGATTCGAATACTTTGGGATTCGAATTCTCCGGATTCGGTATTCTATATTGCCCATCCCTACGAACAACTCAACTACACGGTCAGCTCAACAGAGACAAATCGACTACAGAGAGGTCTGGTGAGTCGTCCGTCTTTTCACATTTTCTACGGCAGCGTTTTAAGCCTATAGGAGTGTAAGTAATTTCGATCTTTTTAGGGTTCCAATGTTGAGAAAAATGCATAAATATTTTCTAGAAAGCATATTTATGTGTAAAAGTGACTTATTTCGCTTATTTTATATGAATACAGATACAGTCTACAGACGAAACTGGGGTCTGTCTGTTGTAACGTTAGCGAAGTTAGACTGTTGACTTATAGGACTATATAGGAATTTTTGAATTTTATTGATATTGGATGTTTAGAATACATACTTTTAAATATATTAAAACCTTTATACATGACAGTAACACATACCTATATATTCAAGAATGTGAGCTTAGTAGCCTATGATAGCATTAGTCTAAACTCACTTACCGAGCAAGCAATCGCTCTGCAAAATTACGATGTCGATGCTCGAGAGGAAAACAACCCGACTACTCGTATAGCGTTTACTTAGTGCCGATCGACATTAGTTGTAAGCCAACTCACCGCGACAAGGTTTCAGTCTTAGAGTTGGGATTCCTAAAGTTATTCGTGAATAATTTTTGATTTAAATTAGTCGCAAGTAATGTCATAACATTTGATGCCTGGCTTTTGGTTTATATGCATCATTATTTTGGGAAAACTCGCAGGTCGCGAAGAATCATTTAATGTAAAATAAACCAAGGCATGTCTGTAAACAATTAAATATTGTTGCAATTATAGTATCGGAATATCGTCAGTAAATCAGCACAAATAAATATTATACCCTAGCTAGATAGCGAAGCAGGAAAACGCAAAAATAGTGCGTTAACGAGTCTTCGCCGTGAGGTGTACTGCGACGACTTGTCCAGAATACGGCGATTGGGATTATAGTGTTTGATGTTTACCGATTTTATGTTTGCGAGCAAACGCAAGTTTAATTAAACGAGAGCGATTTCCACACAAGAAAAACGCTCGTCCTAAATTGATAAATTCGAAACCCGAAATACAAAAATTGACGCATGGCGAAAACGCAAAAATGGTGCAATAACGAGTCTTCGCCGTGAGGTGTACTTCGGCGACTTCTTATCCAGAATATGCCGATTGAGATTACAGTGTTTGATGTTGACCGATTTTACGGGTTCTTTGCGAGCAGACGCAAGTTTAATTAAACAAAAGAGATGTCCACGCGAGAAAAAACGCGCGTCTTTTATTGATAAATTAGAAACCAGAAATACAAAAATTGATGCATGGCCGGTGAAATGCTTTCTAGAGAATAGATTATTAGTTATGAGCGTTCAGAATCTCATAATTCATCACCATATTGTGCACTGCTTGTTTGAATGTTGTACCTTCAAATACTTTATATTCCTTTGTATACAGTAGGACACAGTTCCCAGATTCCAAGATTCCAAAAAAACACTCATTTTTAGTTAGTTGTATAATCCAGAAAAAGCATCTTGTTCATAAATAATGGCAATCTTCAAAATGCTCAAACTACGCAAATACTTGACAAAATTTGTTCAAATTTTTTTTTTCATATTTCCTAGCAGGAAGTTATCCAGATATGTGTAAAGTTGAACTATAGAATCTGTGATGGTAGGCGGACTTGTTAATTTTTTTGTTCCATATGACATCGAATTGGCCTTACAGTTATTGACTTATTTTTTCCAAAGAAATCCAATGGTGACATTTTTAGATTCCGCTTCATTTTAATTTATTGTGCAGTGATGGTTTGTCATTTCATGCCGATATGGAGGCCCAAAGTGTCTTTTAAAGAAGGGTTTGCGCTCACTGTTACAATTGATAACTTTCAATGTGGAGGCTATTCTCAGAGAACTGAGCCATACTGGTATACAAAATTGTTTTTCACAGATTTTAATAAAACAACTTATTACTCTTGCCTTGCTATGGCCAAAGATGTGAAGCCACAGGACAAACATCTGATTGACTATCTTGTAATTGTTGGAGCAAAGCATCCAAGTGGAACAGCATTGCAATCCCCTACATTGCTGAATAGGTAAAACTGTATGCACTTTGTTTGTTTTTTATTGAAATGACATTCATTGGTTGATAAGCCCATTCATTTTAAAAAAAATTATTCATCAATTCAAAATGACTCAACGCAACAAAATCTTCTTTTTTGATGATTCATTGTGACCTTTAGCAGCAGAATGTCATTGCATATACCGTATTTTCCCGAAATTACGCCTATATCGAGAATAGGCCGACTCCCTAAAAACGGCCTTAAACAACGATTTTATAAAAAATCGCACATAAGCCGGTCCTACGAATCGTTACACGCCAGACGCTTCAAGAAAAACGTAATAGAGAACAAAATTACTGTAACGCAAGCATTTCTCACGTTTATCGTTTCTGGTTCCATTACATTTGAACCCACGTACATTTGAACCCACACGACGATTGCACCGGCATACTATTGGACCTATAGAAATTTTTATTGTTTTACGGATATTTGAACCCATACTAACCCTAACCCATGGGTTTTGTACCCGCATATAGATTGAACCCGCGAATATACACATGGGTTCAAATGTACGGTCACCATCGTTTCTGCATGTTAGCGAGGGCCGTAGGTGGATTATTACCCGTAACTCTTACTTGTTAATTTATGTTAATAAAGTCTATATTGCTTTTCAATGTGTCGTGATTGTGTCGGGAGTTTAAAATAGAGTTCCTGAATCAGCATAAAACAATTTCCTTTGATCGCCACAACGACGATTAATTTCGTTCCTTGTCCGTTTTTAAGGAAAGGAATAACGCTGTATTAACACATTCTTATAAATCGCTACGAATCTTAACACGCCAGACGCCTTAAGAAAGGCGCAGAAAGAAAACAAAATCTGTAGCACAAATATTTCTAACGTTCATCATTTCTGTTTGTTAGCGACGGCCGTAGATCCTTACTCGCAACTCTTACTTGTAAATTCATGTTAATAAAGTCTATATTGCTTTTCATGCGTCGTGATTTGTATTAATGGAAGGGATTGTTGTCGGAGTTTAAGAGAGTCCCTGAGTCAGCATAAAACAATTTCCTTTGATCGTCCACAACGCAGTTAATTTCGATAAGAGTCCTTATCACCACCCCTTAATAACAGATAACATTCATATCGTAAAGGTGATTAAAAGTCGTGCGCCGTTAATTACCTCTACGGCGAAAGTGCACCAAATAATAAAGTTTTCACCACGAAACAACTGGCCGTAAATCGACACTGTTGCTGTTATATAAAAGAAACACAACGAAAACAAACAATCACAGCCTGTACAAGCGTCACGTGTTAAACAACCAATCACAGCCTGTACAAGCGTCACGTGTTAAACAACCTATCACAGACTGTACAAGCCATCAGCTGTATGATAAGACAATCCACTTTCACAAGCGAGTGTGTGTGTGCGCGACCCTTTTTATCGTGAGAACTTGGTATGGTTTGAAGCTTTTGGAATTACTGGCAAGTCAGCATAATATCATCTCGTTGCGTGAACAAATTCTGATACGTGAATGAGCCGATTTTTTTGGTGCGATCTGAGTCATGCGCGTATAAGACGGTCCCTTAGTTTGGCAACTTTTTTTTCGAGTTTTAAACTCGGCCTATACGCGATCTTATACTAATGAAAGGTTCATCAACCCTTCTTTTTCAATGTGTCTTAGTAGGCTATACAGTATTTCAATGCATATTCGCTCTTGTTGTTGTCTGTCAATTTCTCCCTGAATATTCTTTTCTTCTACCTATCAGTGACCAAGCTATTACTGAATCAAGCTTTAATTTTCAGGTTTCCGAAAGAAGACCGACCTTCCTTTGCACTCCCTCCAGATGTCGTCTACTTCTGCCAACCTGAAGGCTGCACAAATGTTTGCAGAAGGTGGGTTTGCTGTTCATAGCGCCATACTAAACACTCGGATCATTTGTGGTCCACATTTAGCGATAGACAAACCCTCTCAAACATTCCTCTTCCTAATTTCTCTCAATACAAAAAGCACACAGTGATTTTAGGAGGTACCAAGCAATATCTCAATTAGAATCCCCAGCCTCTATGAAGAAACCACCATACTCTCATGTTTCAGGTCCAGTCAGAGCCTCCATGAAGACACAACATCATTTGTTTTTACATTGACCGATAAAGACAGTGGATTTATTCGATATGGAGTTTGTGTCAATTTTTATCGCCCATTTGAACGTAAAGATTTGGATAAATTGAGAAAAAAAGGATGGAAGAAAAGACAAAAGTAATTTTATTTTTGATGAAAAATATAAATTTCAGCATCATTCGTTTTATTATCCAATGATTTTTATCCTGTATTGGTTTTAATATGACAAACTTTGGTCGTACGGGAGTAGATGGATTTGAGAGGTTTTTGTATTGTTATTTCATAATACTCCAACCAGGGTTTTTGTAAATTGAAATTAATATGACAAATAATCTTCTCATAAAACCAGAGCCACTGTTATGCTACTTGTCTGTTGCTTTGCTAAGAGCACAGCATTAAATCAACTTGTAGGGGAAGGTGGAGTTATTGAGTACTTTTTTGACATTTGAAGCGATCTGAAATCGATTTCCCTTGAAATTATGGTTTCATTGTAACATTTTGACTCTGTACTTCATTGCATAACAGTTTGAATCTTATTCAATGTATTCAAGTCACCTTAAAATGCAATTTTTTTTTGGAAGTCAGTATACTCAATTTACCTCATTTTTCGAGGATAATTGAGTTTACTGACATTTACCAGTTAAATCAAATCCAAAAAAGCCTTAGAACCAAACCAAAAACCTTCATGAGAAACTTGGGTACATATAGTTTATTTAATAAAATACTAATTACTAAAACCCTGAAACAAAATTATCTGGCACCACTTTAAACTTGGTAGGATTGATCGCAATTGGGCCAAATGGGCTTTCAGTTAAAATACCAGTTCACTATGGACCGTAATGGGTGGTTTGATCTTGCCATTAACTTCCTTGATAGAGATACTTTTCATGTTTCTATTATAGAAGCCTATATTCAAAGAACGACATGATGTAGGCTACAAAAAAGTGTAAGGGCTCAAAATAGTTATACAGAACCTCATAATCCTGTGTTATAGTAGTGGGAGAGGCCATTTATGCTTATTATACTTGATTCAACCCATGGTATATTTCCATAAGACTCGAGTTACCTTTATTATTTCAAACATCAATAATTCAAAAAGCAAATGAGTTACACTTTATTCAATGGGGCAAAAAGAGTCTCTACTAAAGTACTAGAAGGCATCGCAAAAAGTTTAGGATATACAAACAGAGAAGTGTCATATGAAAGTTTCCAAAACAATTTTTTTCGCAAACAAAAAGCATACAAACACCTGAATTAATTTTATCATTGGTAGGCAACTATTGTTGCTACAAAGTACAAATAATTCACTCAACATACAAAAAAGTTAGCGGGTTTTTATACATTGTACTCAATATACCCCCTATTAAACATTCGGTACACATTGTGCATGGTTCCCCTTAGTCAAAAATATTTTTGGGAAATTCTACCTTGTATGATGAGCCAATTTGGTGAAATTTCCAAGAATTCACAGAAATCATGTTTCATTAATGATTACGGCGATCAGTTATTTTTGGTTTTGGAATGAAATGTAATAACGGAAGTCGAAACACACACTTAATGATTATCGCTTCCTTTTTCAGTCTGTCATGCTGGCATCTTAATAACAAGGTATTCCATATAAAGGAAAAAATATAAATAAACAAATATACAACAGAATGTTTACTAATGATGATACCCCCTGGCATGATTGGGCAGTCACTGGTGCGTGTCATGATTTTGTAGCAAGATAGGCTTAATTACAATTAATTATCGTAATCATAACAGATCAAAGCAATGTTAATTAACCCCGGTATGCTGTATGTTCAGATCTTTGTGCAAATTTATCGGCCAGACACCAAATATTTCGATATTTTGGAAAATTGAATTTAAACTTCAGATATCAATATTCCTATCTTGTTCAGCTCCTACAACAGATGCTCTCAGGATTATGCTCAATATAAGTGTGAAAAGGTCATATATTTCAATATCCAATCTCACTAAGGGCTTATAAGGGCAATTTAACTAATCAGTCTGATGATAATTTAAGTTTTATCCATTGATTATTGATCTTGGTCGATGTGACCTGCATGTCTTTGGCTCTTTGCATTTATTAATTTTGCCATATTGGTGTTGGGAAATGCAGTGCAATGGAAATGCAAATTTGGTAACCACTTATTGGCAAATACAGGAAAAAGTCTAAAAAGTTTCGCCCCATTATAAATTCTTTATAATCAAATGTTTTTTTTTTTTTTTTTTTTTTAAAAAAGATTTCTAGTCAACCTGTTTCTAATTGGATGTTATAGATGTTGAATGTTGTAGTCCCCATTTATTACACAACAAAATTCATTCAAATTTGCAATTGGTAATGCTATGAAATCGGGCGGAACTTTTTGGACACCCTGTATAAATGAAACGTCTGTTTTCCGATGGCAAAGGAAAGATTTGAACATAATGATAAGATGTCTTACCAGACATTTTGATTTGTTACATATCGCATGTCTCGACTAATACTGCTGCCACGTGCATCCCACATTTACTGAGAAATTGACTAGTTTGAAGGTACTTATTTTAGTGATGAGTATTCACTTCCAATAAAAAAGCCATGTGGGCAACCAGTTGCTACCGTTAGTTACAACTACCTTTAATCTTCGGATCCCTCATCAGGGACACGTTGCCAGAAGCAATATGATTTATTTAGTCAATATTTATTATACAGTGGAAAAAATATGAAACGATAAATTTGACTCAAGTATTCATTCTGTCCACCTCTATCTTATCAAATAAACAATGCTTGAAACCTGGCTTTGTGATTCATTGTTCCTAGAAACGTCAATAGTATTGATGTGTTCACTGTCTTGTGCAATATATTGAACGTTTCACAGACATTATTGATTGGCAACATGGAGCGCCAGATCATATGAAACCAAGCGTGATAGTCAAACACTGATAATTTCATAGTTACTATTTGTTCCCTCAAACCTTTTTAATCAGGCGAACCAGAATTCAATGCATTGATTCATTAGTAGCTGCCATACTGAATAGTTCATTATCCCAAAGCTCTAATGATCTGAGGATTGGAATGCAAAACCATGTTATGTTCTTCATTGCTCTGAAACCTCAAAAATGTCAGGCTTCACAGGCCAAATGGAAGTAATTCTCATTTGATCTCTAGAAATCTATATTTTGGAATTTTAGTTTGGTTCAGCAATTCTGAGCCAACGTGCCAATGATGGATTTTCAACCAAATATGCCAGGTTTCCATTTATCCCAATATTTATTCCGAAAAAAAATTATAATTTTTATCAAAAACAGTTTGTTAGATATTATTGAAATAACACAACTCCTTGTGTCAATGAAACATTGTGAACAGATCACAGGATGATTCATATTTCTTATGATGAGATGGCTGTTGGTAAAAATCAATAAATGATTGTGCAAGCGTGAGGTTTTTAGAATCAATGACAATTGGGAATATTCTGAGTGAAACTATTCCGCAATCAAATTATGATATATTTACTTGATATATTTACTCATTATATTTACCTATATTATACTTCACAGGAATACTATGGTATTGTGCATTTCTCCCTGTTTACTTCCTACTTTGAATCCCGATGTGTCAGTTACCACAAGAATGCTAAAGATAAATAAGAATAGCATAATCTCTTTCCACCGAATATCGAGTAAATATACTTGCTATTTCATGATATACTTTACTTGGGAAATCATGATTTACACCGATATTTTTAAAGTTATCCAGAAACGAACATTATTTTCATAAAATCAAAGTCAGATACCACTCAGTAGTGTAGTGTCTATCCTGCCAGGTTGCCAACTATAGTCGATGCCTTTTTGCAGGGCAAGAGAGGAGTTTTCATATGACCAAGAGTTTTCAGATGATGATGAATCCAAGTTTGATGGGGGTTTCGATACTCCGACAACCATTGCTGAGGCGGTTGATGGTGCTGATCTCAGTCCTGGTAGGAATCTTTCAGGAAATAATCTCAGCGATGAAAATTCTCCTGCTTCAACGAAAGGTTGGTTGTTATGGTTTGATTCGTTTGAAATTCAAAATGAAGGATATTTACGAAAACTCTAGTGGGTTAGTATTATCAACTAATGTATCATGAGTAGGGGGCTGTTTCAGGTATGGACATGTTGTTATTTTGTTTGAAATCATAAACATCTAAAATATGTGTGAAGGTAAGTGTGACTCACTAGATGTCACACAGCTCACTGAGCTCCTGATATATATATTTCTAGGCCCACATACTTGAGGCCTAAAACTTGATTAAAACTATTTTCGGATTTTCCTTATAACGATTCTTCGCAAAGTTTATTTTGGATTAATATAACTTCCAACAAACACTTAACGAAAATTTCTTTTATTAGGGCATCAAACATGCAATAATCATGTTGTCTTTTTTGCGTCACAATATTTCGAGTAAACTTTGATTTTATCGGGGTTCAAAATAAATAAACGGGAGGTTAAATAAACATTCTTACATATGGAGTGGTTCCAGTGCTTATTGGTAAAAAAATGAGTATGTTTGTATAAGAGGTTTTTTCTGGGAATTTAATTTATTAAATACGTTTGAAATAGGTAAAAATATCTCTTTCAGAAATAGGCTTAGCAATATGTATATTCGATATCTCCGTTTCCTGGATAGCTTTTATTGTGGCGAAGTCATGATTCATGTCACAAAATAAATTGAACTTCAATAAATTCGATTCTACCATTTTTTCATGAATCGGAGAATTCTCATAATTAGATGTGAGCACATTCCAAGTTTATCCATTCTGCAGTAATAATTAGGGGTGGGCAAAATCGAATATTTTTTTCGAATCGAATAATTCGAATATTTTTAACGAATACCGAATAGTCGAATAACGAGTATTTTTTTATACACAACAGGAGGTCCAAGAACTTCGATCGATACTCTCTTTGGAATTATTAAAGACATTGAAAATCGGCTACAAAGTGTTTTTTTACTGTGTTTAATTTTGTCATAATCGCTGATTGGTTTTAGTCACCGTGACCGTTTTTGTGGGCGATAAATAATCTAGGTATATTACAGCCCTCTCTGTTTTTTGCAAGTATTAATTCTTTCGGGTCTGCGGACATCGAAGTTTATATTTCGGGTTTACTCGTTCGCTCACGTTGGCAACAGCTGTTAAAACCATTAGGGAATTGATTTCGAAACCCAAATAAAATATTATTCTAATTTTTATCATTTGGCGTTGGCTTTTATATTACTTATCAACGTTTGTAAATTTATCGTCACAAACATTAAGCGAACGGTAATATTATTATCGATACCAGGATGTAGATATTTATTTCAAGACCGTAGAAAGCGCTTCTTGAATAATAATTTACATATGAGATCTGATGCTGAAAAAAATTGCGCTTTTGGTGGCTAATAAATGGCCAGGCGCTACTTAATACTAACTCTTTCAAATTCCGACGTTTTCTTTCAACAAACCCTGCGATCATTATAGCTAATATCGTTACCGAGTAATTCACAATTTTATTTACGGAATTTGCAAATTCACTTTTACTTCTCTTGACGATTTTGAATAATGTAACGCCCTAATTTATTAGTGCAAAAAATGCTCAAAATATAACGAATGTAATCATTACCGATGATACAACAATTTGTAAACGAGACAGTGCGCGTTGTTACATCGAAATTCACGATTGATTTTACGTTATACTCCTGTTCACGATTTCTACACTCCACCCGCCATGCATGCCCAAGTGAAATGTTTACATTTTCGAAATATTTCTTGGTCAAGAATGAAAGGGATCACTAAAGAATTATTTGAAAGTACATTAGAAGAACTATATTCTGTCATTTCTTTTCTGGTGGCTTGTTCGTGTATGGTTTCATGCGAAAATAATTACAACTTTTAATTTTCGTTAAACAAATTTGTGTTTGGTTCATGCATGAAACGGATAATCACGTGCCGCCAATCATACGGAGTTTAAAATCTGGGATATTTATTTTAAATACCTCTTCTGATTTAACGTTTCTAAATTTAGGGAACGGTGTCGGTACCTTTTTTTGCAAAATAGGGAATTGAAATGACCGACTGAAACGCGAAGAAAACAAATAACACCACAACGCAAGGACGATTATTTCTAATTTGTCGCTTTTGTCTGTTAGCGAGCGTTGTAGGTGAATTCTTGCGCAATTCACGATCGGTTCAGAGACGTTCTGTGTCCAAGTGAAGCTGCGGAGATTATGTGGTACCCGATATTCGAATAGTAAAATGCCATTCGAATAATTTAATATTCGATTCGCTATTCGTTATTCGAATATTTTACCCAGCCCTAGTAATAATACACATTGTGACACGAATCCTAATCTGACTATTTCAGCACAAAGCCCTCGACGTCGAGGTCAACGAACGATACGGACTCATACTCTCACTTCACTGTGCATAATAAGTCGGCAACCTTTCATATCAGGCTTCAGAAGGTGAGGCTAGCTATGATGTTTGGGAATATGTTTTTTTAGGAATCTGTGAATCAAATTTAGTTAAGTTGAATTAGTGACTTTTAGGTACTGTGTGAATGAGAGATATCGTTTGAAGTCAAATTTCTCTTAAAGGCCGAAACAAAAAATGATTATTTTCCAGATGTTTACTAACATTGAAACGAATAATCGAAGCTTGCTATCATCGCATAAAAAGTAAAAACAGAAGAAAATCAAAGCCAATACCAACAGGTTTGTTATTATATTCATACCACATAATCCACGTCTGAAGCGCTGCAGCATCCAGTTGACTTTGTAAACTCTTTTCAGCTTGAAGACTTTTTTTGGTCAGAGTTTTAGAACGGATGGCTGAAAAGCAGTAAAGCACTATTCTGAATACATTCGACCATAATAATTTTGAATTCTACATATTGAATATTTTATTATTTTACGACATATTCATACATCGACTGCTCTGAGCAAGGCTCTTTACAAGCAGTCACTGCTAGATCTACCATAGTTTGGAAGGACTGGGATTTTCCCATTTTGGCTTTGTCTTCCCCCAATTTATTAACCCATGGGTGTGAGATGGTGGGATTTGAACCCTGGTCATGTACTGTGGAAATCGATGTATATTGAGTGAGTTTGATCAGTAAATACAAAATTTAATTATTCAATCTGGACATTCCTGATCAACAGACCTTTTAATTCCTAACCTAACCAACCCATGGGTGTGAGATGGTGGGATTTGAACTCTGGTCATGTACTGTGGAAATCGATGTATATTGAGTGAGTTTGATCAGTAAATACAAAATTTAATTATTCAATCTGGACATTCTTGATCAACAGACCTTTTAATTCCTAACCCTTGTAGTGGTTCTTAAAATTGAAGCGATAAGATCTAACAGAAATTCTGAATAATTTCTCAACTTTTCGCGCACTTTTTCCCGCAGTATTTGGGCCGTACTCAGTGGTTGCGCTACAATCGCATCAACATCGTTATCAGGCGTCATCTTGAAGGAAGTTCAGGAAATCGAAGAATGGACTCGGAAGTTACTTGATGCACCAGTTCCTGCTCCCGGGAAAACAAAACTCATTTTGGAATTGCTGCCTCCAGATATGCAGGTTTGTCACAATTCATAGCGGCCTGCACTTGCTGGTCTGAATTATTTCATTTGCCTTCTCATAGCATGTGTGACATGTTCCAAGAAATTGTTGCTATCATGCCCATCTCTACTCTGGGGTTATATATATCCAGGGATTCCATTGATCTGGAACCCAAAATAAGGATGACTGGAAAAATTTCTGCATTGTGAGCAGAAATAGCTGGCTTTCCTATGGGCTCCAGGTTGATGTCACAATTACAGACGTCACAGTGTGCTAAGTACTCACCCTTCAAGCATTGTGTTGCTTTTATGATGCCACAAAAAAGCTTTGGCGATAAGACAAACAACACAAAGCTTCCTTTATAAGTCCAAATAAGGACAAAATAAGGACACACAAGCCAAAATAAGGGCGCGAGCTAAAAATAAGTCAATAAGGAAAAACCTTAGAAATGAGGACGGTATGGAATCCCTGTATATATCTGATGATTCATAGTGCCAGTTTCAAGAAGGATAAGTCGTTTATCCAATGCTACGTAAGCTTTAAATAGTTCATGTTTGCCTGTCAATTTTTTTTAATGCTACCATGACTTCATTTCAGGTCCCACTGACATTTGCTTTGCCTGATGAATCAAGGTTATCACTGCTGGATTTCCCGTTCCATCTTCCATTAGAATTGCTTGGAATTGATTTGTGCTTGAAAGTTCTCACTGCCATAGTGCTGGAACAAAAGGTATATGGTTGTATTAAATCCTTTATTACGGCCTGCAATGGGTGGCAATCAATACTAAGGAGCTACTGTTATTTTGATATTTTCGGTTTGACCATTTAATTTATATCTGGCGATGCCAACATGGTTAAGCCAAAAACCTGACCTCTATGCCTTAGAGCAGTGCTCTTCAACCAGGTATACGGTAAACTCAAGTGTATACCGGACCATTATTTAGGTATACAACTGATAAATGGTATACGAAGGGTGTACAGCCTAAGTCAGGGATTCTAAATTCTGATATATTAAATTATAAAATATTCAAGCGAAGACAACAGTGCAAACGCGGTGCACATGAAATATAAAATGTCAATTACGCAAAGAACCTACAAGAGCACATTGTTACATCACAAATAATATAGATAATGCGGTCACGTGTCTGGGTTGGTGATTTCGGCTGCCGTGCACTTCGTTTGATTTACGTTGTACATTATTCCCGTTAGCGCTAAGTCAAATTTATAACTTGCAGACACTAGCCTGTTAGATTGCATGATGCTGTTGCAGTACAATATGTGCTTGAAATTTAATGTTTATTTGAGCCCTAAATAAACATTGGTATTTGTGAGGTATACAAAGCTCTTGGAAAATTGTAAAAGGTATACCACGATAAAAAAGGTTGAAGAACACTGCCTTAGAGACACAGTCACATTAAAATGCAAGCATATGACATAATTTTTGTTATTTTTGATACTCCTATGTTTGAAATTGTATAGCCATCATGACGACCCTAACACTGGGTTTCTCAGCCTAACTTAATTTCCCCCATCTTATGATTACTTAAACTCTTTCAGTGAAGAGTTTTCCCATTTACAAGAACTCCCAATCTCATTGTTACATCATACATGGATAATGAATTGCCCATGCTTGACCGATACATTGAATTCAATCTGTATTGATAAAAGCAATCAATAATATTGATCAGCAAACACAATATTGGTATTGACCGGTCATATAGCTCCTTGAAATAGATTCCCTTGATTTTTTTGAAAATGTGGAAAATAATGAGGTTTCTGGGTGCTGCGCTCTGAACAAGGCACTGAACGAATAAGTACTGACAAGTAAATTTTTTTTAAATGACTCTCTGACGTTTAAGCCCCGACAATTACAGTGAAATATGGGTGATTTTGATGATCTTTTTTACAGTGTAATTGATATTTGTTCTTGTATGAGATTGTTCAAAATTAATAACTCAGAAAAGGGGCGAGATCTGGGAAGGCTTTGAAAATAAGAATGTTTAAGTATGGGCCATGCATGGTCTCCATTATTATCAAGTGTTAATATTAGTTTTGTAATGGCAAATCAGGCTCGACACATTTTCAAGAGTATTGGGCAAACACTCTTCATAGCGGTTGCATACTAGAGCATTTCAACTTGAAATCTCAACCAAAACACATTAATTATTCAAACTTTCCATGTAAGCTATTTCCTTATAATATGAAATTACTCATTCCTGGAATCGAAAGACTGTTCTAGGCTGATTAGTCGATGCGATAGACTGATCTTAAATTCCTCTGTCTATAGGCTATGAGGGGTGGCCAAGATGTCCTCGACCGCTCTCGACTATAATATTTAACATAGCTTGCAATCCGCTGATCGGTAATAAGGTCCCACAAAAAATGAATGGGTACTGAATGTGCAGATAACTGCACACTCGCATACAAAAAATTCCACCACTTCCAATGAGGAGGCTATGTGGGCACATTCTTAATAAAATCGACACAAAATTTGTATTTTTTATGTTCCATTTAAGTTCTTGATTAGATTATTTAATTGAACCCGGAGTAAATGTTTCATCATTTATTTAAGATTTTTTCAAATCATACAATTCAGATATAAGGAGTGCCTAATTCTTAGTCTTAAGTGTTAGGGATGCGACTAATCCAAAAAGTTTGGCTCGTCCGAATCCTGAGTATTTGCGCTGAACTCGTGTTGAGTCTTGGGTCCAATACTCTTACAGCTTCGAAATAAATACCTAAAGTGATGCTGTTGTTTGAGTATATTGGCGGAAATTAAACATTTTGTAAAAAAGATAAGACTATGTAATTCAAATCGTTTCACATAAGCACTATTGCTTTTGGAGCCCTCGCTGTGCGGCTGGTTTAAATTAGTTTCAAACAGGTCTTCTTATTCCCGTCGAAAGAATACTTTGTTACGTAACAATGCGCTCTGATTGACCGCCCCGTCGACTGCTGCAAGACGCCGCGCTCGTGTCCTATCGCGATATCCTTGATAAATAAGGGTCGCAACTCGTAACCCCCCGTTGGATAAAAAAATTTTATGCAAAATTTCAACTTTTTACTTATATGTCATCTTTTTATAGCCGGCGCTGATACAGGCGCCCATCTCCGTGCTGACCCTCCCCCATGATGATTGAGATATTAATAGAGAACTGCCGACTGTGGTAGCATCAAATAAATGTATCTCAGAAATATTTCATAACAAATTAGCTATTCTTCGTTTTAAACCATCAATAGCGATTGTCGAATCCGCGGAAAATGTGTAATTGTTGATTGTAATTCAATAAGAGAGGTGTGAAAAGCGAAATGTGTTATATGCTCATTTAGGGCTTTCTGTTCAAACTCCTTTTCACACATTCATTTTTATTAATACAAATCACGTCTTTTTGAAAAGCAAAATCGAATTTATTAATATTAATTTAGAAGTGAGAGTCCCGAGTAAGAATTCACCTGCGACTCTCCGCTAGCAGACAGAAACGATAAATGTGAGGATTATTATGGTGTTTTTTTGTTTTCTTTCTGCGCCTATTATTATGTTACAATTCCCAATTTTGTATAAACCTTTTTTTTCTCATTAGAAACGTCAAACCAGAGTAAGTAAGACATGTAAATATTGTATTCTATGGAAATTATATTTTTACTGCGTGGAGATGCATTGTTGTCAATCTATTTAATAATTGATTCGACTCGAAAGAGCACACAATGGTGAATTTACAGAGTTTTTATTTATCATTTAATACTAAGATAACACGGGCACGATAGGTATTGTTCGCTTAAAATAGGGACCATAATTTACAAACTGTGATATGGATTATCCAAACCGACCAAGAAGATGATTTCAGAATAAAATTAATGTTTATGAATTCACTAATTAATAGCTGTTTTTAATATTTTCGCCGATTTGCACTCACACTTCTACCTGAAATATAAAAACCAAACTTTGATGTCCGCCGTTTCTGTGAGAACTAATTCCAAGGGAAAAGTTGCTTCAAAATAAAGTTCACCGACAATAATAATAATAATAAGGATGTCGGTCGCCGAAACGATCGCGGTGAAAAAAGAAAAAAGAATTCGTGATTGTGATAAAATTAAGAAGTAGAGACGCCGCGTTGTTATTGAGTCTTCTAGTAGTTTTCTATTATCGGTGCATAAAAAGAAATATTCGATCGGGAAAAATTCGCAAAAAATTCGACACTAATCGCAGTGTATGTAAATACTTGTTGAATAACAATAATAAGTCGGCCCGATTCCGTGCACGAGTCTGAATCTTGTTGCATCCCTAGTAAGTGTTGAAAAATTCTTCAAGAAACCTTGCCGAGTATTCCTGTATTATCTAAACAACGAAAAATAAATATTCTCAAACCATGAATGTTACGAGACTGTTCAAACTCCAGCATATAATTTACAATTTCTTCCAAGTTCTATTCTACCGATCGCTTGGAAACAGAAAAAATTGCGCATTTCGATGCCACTGCTACCATTTCGAATACAATTTATCACACTACTTTTAGAGTGAGACAATAAATTTTTCATACTGCAGAAGTTATTGTAGGACCGTTTTTCAGTCATAACACGCAATTTTCGGCACTGTCATTTTAAAACCTTGACAGCCGGAAAACTTGCATTTGTTACGTAACCATATGCTCTATCTTGACCCGCTAAGTGACAAATTAACGTAAAAAATACTGTGATAAAATTATTCTATTGGGCTTGCCCAGACTCAGATACTGTATGTTAATATTGTATTTTGCTCATGTACAGTACTGTATTCTTCCTGTTTTAAAACACACAACTGGTTCGAAATAATTTTTTGGGATATTTTATTAAATTCGATCGATCGCCATCGACGTGTTGGCCACCCCTGGTCTATATGATTTGCATAACAGGGTGAGTGAGATTTATCCAGGCTATACACATATCTAATGCAGGCTAAGAAATAAAGATTAGTATAAATTCTAAATTTAATTTTCAACATTCAGTCTGAGAACTCTAACAACTCGCACTGCTGAATAATTTATGAGCGCGGCTCAGAACTCATAATGACCATAAATTATTATGTTTTATTGTGTCAAGAGAATTGCTGATACTCTGCCTGTGCGTTTCATTCTAAATATAACTGCCATCATTATTATCATGCCTAGGAGATGAAGTTTGTTATATATGGAATTGTATCAAAGGATACTGATTATGATATACATTGTTAAACTGAGTCTGACTCTGTGGGTGGGGGTACCCTTCTAAGGGCTCAATGTCGAAGGTCCAGTGTATTTATTTCCATAGACTCACCTTGATCTAAAAATATTTGTGATACACTCGCTTAATCACCTTTACTTTCAGATTGTTCTCCGATCTCGTGACTACAATGCATTTGTCATGTCAATCCTGGCACTAACAAGCATGCCTGTATCCTCTGCAATACATTTTCCTGTCATTCCCCTCCTCCCGTCTGCCTCCCAGGATCAGAGCAACTCCTGCTGGCTCCAACACCGTATATTATAGGGGTTCCGACACCATTCTTTGATGGCGCTCAGTTCAGTCTGCCAAATGATGTGTGGCTTGTTGACTTAGATTCAAACAAGGTGAGATGATTTGATTATTTTTATTTTTTATCTGGCATTTCAAAATTTGGCCTAGAAATACGAATACCCGGGGAAAGCATTGGTTAGTCTTGAGCCATTGGTGAGTAGTACAAGTACCACACACTAGATAATGTCATTGACAATTACCTCAATGTATGATGGGCACATGACTCAACCTTTGTTCATCCATCTAAGTATTGAAATCCATTCAATGGATTAGTCCAAATTAATCTTGTGTTTAGCTTATGTAATCTCGCAACCTCTTTTCCAGATGACGAAACCTTCAGCTTGTAAACCTTTACCAAAACTACCTGAACCCGAAGGAACAACTTTGGCGGACTCATTTGAAACAGGTTTGGGTCTTTTGCAAAACTTTCCCATGTTCTCAATTGTTTGTGGAATTATGAGCCTTCGGCCTTAATATGCAATAACATAGTGAGTGAGTGACCTGGTTATCCTATTCTTATATTTTATGTTGATACACTCCGCTAAATTGAATGCCTATTTTTATTTAAATGTCCCGAGTAATTGGCAATCAAATCCATTACTCAAACAATTGTTTCTAGCATACCTAACTCATTGTTTCTTCAGGCGCTGGCTAGTATGAGTCTGAATCCGCCAGTTCAAAACTTTGAGCAGTCTGATGTTTCCACTTGGTTGAAATCGCAGGACTCAAAATCAACTGCAAGTACTAAATTCAACCCACTTATTTATGGAAATGATGTCGACTCAGTGGATGTTGCTACCAGGTATTATTCATCTGTCTACGTATCTAAAATATAGCTACCGTAGTTATTCAGTCTTAAAAAAAATTCAAGAAATCCTGTTTCCAAGGAACGATCACAGACTCTATTTATAAAGAAATTTCCTAATAGCATTGAATGTAATGCATTAATCTCAATTTCATCACTGTCAATGTTTGGTGATGTTATTGTCATGGTTAAACATGGAAATAGATCTTTCTCCACAGAATTATTCTATTTAATTCAAGAGTCTTGCTGCACACTCACACAAATATATTTCTGTAACGTTCTGTCTGATCGAGGTCAGACAAGCATTTTACAACTATCTGTCAGTAATTTTTATTTTCCAGGGTTGCTCTCGTCCGATTCCTTCTCTCCCCGAATGTGATGATGAATTTGTCCGATCACACCAGAACGTTACGACTCTACCCAAGACCTGTCGTTGCATTCCAGGCTAAAAGTTTTGTTCAGTCTCGGTGAATATTGTATTCCACAAATAATATTGTATAAAACAAAATTTTTTGCACAAGTGTTTTCTGGATATTGTTTCCTCCTAATTTGTTAGCTTTTTTAGTAATAAAGGGCATATTTTAAAATCATACCTCCCTCCTTTGATATTAGTATTGGGCGGGATAGGGAACATTCCTGACAGGAATTTCATATCCTAAAAGTTTGGGATTTCGCAATGATTGATTACGGGTGAATCACCTTAAATTTCTGTTTTATTCTTTCAGACCAAAACCATCAGAATTCATCCGTGAACTTGCTACAACACAGGCTGTTGAATACTTCGGTGAATGGGCTCTTGCTCCAACGAATCTTGCCTTTCTACGGATCTGCAATAGTAAGTTCATGAGTTGGTTTTAAATGAAGGTGGGAGTGTCAAGCTGACCACAGTAAAAACTCTACCTACGAAATTAGTTCTTTCCACAAGCCCCTTTGTATGTAGGAAATTCCGTAAGTAGGGATGCATTTTACCTATGATTCCCTAATTCGTTCTAAGCCCCTAAAAAGCTCGGACATAATATTGTATAAATTGTAATAATGGTTGAAACCCATAACCAATACATGCTAAAATGATTGTTTACCTTTGGCGTTAGTGACTAGGCTAGGCCAAGTGAAGACTGTGGAAAGTGGGAGTACGGCGGTCGGAGGAGATGAGGGGATGCGTGAAAATTCGACATCTGAGAGAGAACATAATGTACGAAAGTGCGCACATCACACATGAATTCAAAATTTGAATTCACTCTTTTTAATTTTGCTTTTCTGTTTTTTTTGCTCACGAAACCATTTGTTGATTCAGAAAAACGCAAATGTTATTACGCGATCATCGTCATAATCAGATGAGTGAACCCGATTCCCAAATTTCCATCCACCAATGATGTAGAGTTAAGACTGGAATTTTCAAGTTGGCGCTAATTGAAATCCTCTCATGCGCGACTGTGATTTATTGCACCACAGCTGCTTTTGATTACCATGAAAATGGAATAATTGTGAAATGTTTTTGAAACAAAACGGGGGTATATATATTCGGTTTCTTACAAACACGAGAAACGATATTAAATTCTAATTGGACATCATTGCTTCAAGCACTGCATTATTAAATTAACCTAAAATAACTGAATACTACTACACTCTTTAGAAATTTTGTAAGTTGGACTTTTTGTATCCAGGGCGTTTCGTATGTAGAGTTTCTAAATTCTTTTATTCTCTTTCATATAACTTATTGTTACAAAGCCCTAACATATTAACACGTGATGGCACATTGTTTTGTACATTCCGAGTTGGGGTCAATCCATGTGTTGAGAAATTGCAATTTATCTAACTGTAGTCTATCACAGCATGGCATTCCATGAACATGAGGTGATGGATAAATCTACTTTTGATCCTGGTTCACTATTCATTGTATGTGGTCCATAAAATAACTTGCATATGGGAAAAGCACTAACTACAAGACTCTTCTAATAGTCGCAATACAACAAACCATTCTTTTTCAGATATTTTCGATCCTCTGGCAATTGGTGACAAAGCTAAATGGTTTTCTGGCCAACTTAATGAAATCAAACATTCGACTGTCGACAGCAACAATGTGTTTGTATCAACACTTGCTAACGTAGATGAGATTGCCTGTGCTGAACAGGACTCTGACTGTCCAACAGATGAAAGTGGTGAGATATACTGCTGTTTTATGGTATCAATGGCAGGAATTCATTCCACCCAGGCTTCTTGCCAACGCAGTAATTATTGCAATAACGATATCCCATGATAACCAATTTTTTTATGGCACAAGCACTTCATACTCATCATGCTCTTATGATTCAAGTGCCGTGGAAACAGATGATGTCACAGTGGCAGATCAGATGCAATCCATTACTGAAGGTAGTGGAACCATCCTTGAACTTCCGAAAAGTGTGATAGCGAGCGCGAACAAATGCCTAATAGTTGCGATAAATTAAATATGTTTTCTTCCAACAATGTACACGAGCGCCTTCGGAGCACCTCACATTATTGTAAAAAATTTTCCACTATGTATCTTTTCACGTTATGAATTTCGTGCAAGGCCCGAGGATAATTTAACACAAAGATCATAGCATTTACTATGTCGAGACGCTTATTTGACTTTTCAGACCGTAAGAGAAACTATCCGAAAAAAATAACCGATTTTATGTCCGAGATGTGAAAGTAGTGAAGTAGAGTGCAATTTACCAAATTTAATGAAGGTTTTTAAGTTTCATTGCATCAGTTTTTGGACCACGCACGCGTTTTTCCAGATTACTGGCGTGATTACAGATCACAGGGGTGGGCAAAGTAGATAATTTTTGTCGAATATCGGGCTTTTTTAAAATATTTTTAACAGGCATCCAGAATGTTAGAATAGGGTTGCCATACGACAGTTTTTTCCCTGACATGTCCAGGATTTCAGTGGTCAAATTTGGGTTAGGGAGAAATGTTAAAAAGTGCTTAAATGTCAAGAATTTTTGAATGCAGTGTATGCTATAAATAATCCCCTGCTACATATCCTCGAGTTTATAGATATTGCGGGTCCACAAAACTGATTTTTTTGAAGATATGTTACATGTAGGTATTTGTTGTGCAACACGGATTGCATTCTGATAATTGGGATGTCACATATGATCTAAATCGGGGGTCGGCAACCTTTTGTCACTCGCGGGCCAAAATAAGGGTTGCAAGTCATTGGTTGGCTGCACATATTTTTAGAAAGTTGGAAACCGAACGGATGATACTTTTTATAATAAAAATGAAGCAGTGATAATCTCTCGAATAGAATATAGATTTATTTCCTCATTGCATTGCATTTTCAGCGCCATTGAACCCTTTGCACTTAGCATCAACTTTCTGCATTTTGTTGCCATTTGTCTATTATAATTAAATTATAGGCTTATTTAGCGAGTAATTGTGAATTTTATACTTGTTAGATTATAATTTAATTTAGATGACGCACTAGGCTTGCACGTAATTTACGGATTTACGGAATTATTCGAGTTACGGAAGCGAAGTTACGAATTACGTAAAGTCGTAATTATTGGTTGAGCGCTTTCGCGATTGAAACGAGCTCTCTTCTGAGCAGTCAATTCCGTTGATTGTAAAAAATTAAGTTTAATAAGTAGAAGTTAGAGTTCCGGTATTAGCAGCCGTTTTTCCCTCTCTTGGTACGCAGGTGGGGAAGGCATAGCGCGTTGCCATTTACTAACCTATTATCAACTTATCTAGCATGGCCAAAGTACATATTAACCGTAGATAAGGGATAGAATTGTGTCGAGACCGATGGACGCCAACACACCTGGTTTCAACTTCTTCGAGTGAAATGACTAACGAATGTAAGAGATCAACTTATCAAACATGGTCTATTTGTAAATGCTGTGATAATTAATGTCACGCTTATCAAACAACAATATGACGACGGAAGAGAAATTGCGTAATAAACCAACGCAATTTACTTAGGTAGTTTTTTCGGCATCGGTAAATCGATTGAGACGGCAGAGAAAACGAAACGACGGGATTTCCCGTGTTTATTCTGCGCGAGAACCATTTTCTATTACAAAATCTTGATGTTCTGTTACCGGTTTTATCGTTATATATCTGTCCAGACTTGGCCTTGCTCAATATGTTTTTCACAATACCTCTCAATATTTTGGCCAAATATGATTAACTGTCTTTACCGAAAGCGGCAACTTATTTTGATTTATCGTCGACTCGAATACCGCCGGCACTCGACCAAACTTGTGTCAATCTTGGCCGATAGGATTGTCGACTTGAGTTAGAAAAATAAATTAATATTTTCGTGAGTAAAAAATAAATGTCACAAAATGCATTGTTTTGCGATATAACTATGTATTTTCGGAGAAGGCATGTCATATAAGTACGATATTTAAATTTTGCGCAAATAATCAATATTTGATCCGAATTTATCGCGAATAATGTTATAACATTTAGGCCGCGAAATGATTTAATGTAAAATGAAGCATGGTTAGCGGAATATCGTCGATAATTCGGCATCAATAATTATTATAAAATTCTACCTAAGTAGTAAAGTCAGATATTGTAAAAAAACGGTGAAATAACTAGTCTGATTATTAAATTATAAATCTGGAATTTTTTATCTAATACGAAAGTCATATTAATACGTTAATACGATTTTAAAAAGTCAACTATCGTTTCATAAATATCTGTATACCAGTGTTGGTAATGATAAAATTGATCGCATGAAATTGGGTGATAAAGGAAAATCAAAGCTAACACAAAAGATAAAAATCAGGGCCGGATTATGTTACTCTGCGGGCCAGCCATAGGTTGCCGACCCCTGATCTAAATCGTCAGCATTTCGTAATCAGTATTTTGGTTGTACCACTGATACTGTGCTATTTTTATACCTGTTATTTTTCAAAAAAACAACGTGCATTTGATTTAGTAAAGCTCAACAAATTTGCTTCATTCGTTTATTCGGTATTTATTCTATTCTCACGAGAAGGTGACGGCAGCTTGTGCCTTTGGATTTATCGAGAATTTATACCATAATATAAGTGTTTTGGTTGCAAAATTGGAAGTTTGGTTTTATATTCTGGGAGAACTATGTGTTCATATGGCGACATATCTTAAAGACGGCTGAGGAGTGAATTCGGGATTTTATTTTGTTCAAATGATTATTTATTAAATCGGCAATAATGGCAATTCTACTAGTAAAATATTAATTCCTTGGTAATATTTAGGAAAAATAATTTATTACCTTGTTTGACATTTCTAATTTTACACAACGATGCTGGTGCGCAAAACTGAGAATTGAAACAATACCCAAATACGACTTGTGATGACCTAATACAGAAAAAATCTTGCATACTAGGCTAGGATCCAAGTTTGCCCCCCCCCCAAATTATGGAAGTGTCCGCCCCTGGTCCAATCACAATATCATCTTGCACCCTAAATTAAATTCACTTTAAGACAAGTTTTAGATTTAATTTTTTATATTTTTGACCCCGTCACCTTTGCCCCTGTGCCGTCAGAACCTATTTATCTTTTCAACCATGATCCAGAAATTGTACTTGGCTTTGTGAATTGCAGATTCGCTAACCTGCATTCACAGATTCTAAACACAAGTTTCATATTTTTTTTTCAAGGATTTCACAAAACTGAATGGTAATGTGCCATATATTGAAGAACGTAATTCATCAAATGAAGGGGGAGAAGAAAGCGAACAGATACACAGAGTACAAGATCAGTTAGGTATTGCTAACTTTGTTGATTTTGGTCACAGGATTGGTCACAGCATGAAACTTTCTGACTAATTTTTGAGATAACTTAGATCTGTTTCAGAATTCCTGTGATTATTCCCCATTGATGAGGTAGTAAAATTTGCAGATATTTTGTGGCTACTAACTAACTGACTCTTTATACTTCAATAATGGTATTTGGGGGAAATTTTATGAGTTGTTTTGCATATTTGCTCTAAGCAAGTCTCTGTACAAGCAGCAACTTATATTACCACCAGATTCAGAAGGGCGAGAATCCTTAGCTTAGCTCAGCCAATTTGACTTACTAAGGGTAAAGAGTCAGACAACCCTATCCAAGTGAATATTGTGTTACAGATGCATCAAGTGCACGGACAGCCAGCAGTGACTCGAACACTTCGACAGCAAGTTCAAACAGTGATGGGACTATTGCTGAAATACTGAAAGCTGCGGCGACAGTACGACAACAACGTAATGGGCATACAGATGCGGGATCTACTGCCATGACAATATCTCAGGATAGAAAAACTCCTTTTCCAAGTGTCAAAGGTTTGTTCCTAAGGGATTGATTCAATTGCCTGTCTGTCATCCAATAATATCCGTGGAGTGTCTTTGGTCGGGCCAGTATCCTCCTGTTATATCAACTCTGCTGACCTATTTTCAACTAGGTTTTGTCAAGCACGACACAATTCAAAAATAAATCTCTTGGAGGCATTTGCTTAATTCTTATCCACATGTTAGTTTTTTTTTCCCCAAAGAAAGTTCAGGAATCCTTGACCCAGTCTTGCTATTCCCTATTGCAGGTCCACGACGAACATTAATTGACCATCGATCTGTTATTCGCCATGGTTCAGCTCTTGTAGTCACTCCTCCTCAGAAATCCGCAAATCAGTCAGGTTCTGGGATGAATACGACGGAAAACCAACAATTCTTGAAGGTTTGTGGAATTTCTACGACTGTATAGGACTGAATAGCATACTGACCTAAACATGATATAGGGCAGGGGTGGGCAACCTTTTTCGGCTCGCGTGCCCAAATCGGCTAAATTTAACGACAAAATTCTTCTGCGTGCGACCAAAATTGAAAACAATGCTTTGTTACTTTTAAAGCGAAAATACACAATAATAAACCTTTTAAACATGTAAGCTACAGACAGATTCACTATTCGGGAAAATATCAGCCCGACAAATTGATTTGATTACTTTTCTTATTCTATATAAGTGAGACTTCTGCTGCTGCATTACCGTTGATAGAGATTTACATTGGGATTATATTTTGTAACTTTCAAAGAAATATACAAACTACTGGTTTCATCTTTCAGGCTACTCCTGTTTTGAGACCTAATAAAGTTCATAACTGAGAACAGAAACTCACAAGCATATGTAGATAAAAACATGCAGTTGCAAAGTTTTTAAGACACGAAAAAGTCTCGGGAATGGCTTCCCAATCACGCGATAGTTCGTTTTCTGCACTTCTCTCTTGTATTCCCTTCTATAATTGCTTATATTTCTTAATTTTGAAATCAATTTATTTCAGTAAGTTGGCAAGTAACTCTAACCAACATGAGTTGTACAACTTCATAAATCAATCAGAAATGAAGAAAAATGGTGGCACAGACGAACTATATATTACGTAACAATGAACCCCCAATGAATGCTGTGTCACGTCACAATTTGTCAAGAGCTAACTCAGTTGTTACATCATAATATATTTCTCTGTAGCCATATGTCATGAAAAGACAAAAAGAGTTTAAAATTTTAAATGAATAACAGATTATTAACAAACGATAATGAATAAACAAACACTGAGTTTCATCAGATAAATCAGATCCTCGAAACTTTTTATCTGAAAGAGAATGATCTCGTTTCTGAGGCCTCGCTAGCGTGCCGAATAAATGGGCTCGCGTGCCAAATTTGGCACGTGTGCCAGGGGTTGCCCACCCCTATTATAAGGGAACCAAGGAAAACTAATCTGCTTCAGTCTTGTTACATTATGAATGGGCGAAGAAAATGATTCCATCTCAAAAAGACATGTCCAGCAAAGTATGCAATTCTCCAATACATGTGACATTGCTACATTCCCATCCCAGACATTTCTGAACCTTTTTTGATAGGATCAATGTTCATAGTTCGGATTTCCAACGCACACTCAGTTTTGGACAAACTTAGTATCAGCAAAATGCTCAGTAGTAGATAGATACTGAGGACCCTTTCACTGAATCCAAACCTTTACTAATCATGTATTTTTGTTTCTCCTCCTCAGGAAGTTTCTCAAAATGTCTTGCAAAGCAAAGGAGCCGGTTGGTTTAATTTGAAGAAAGTAGCCAGGTGAGTTGATTGCCAATTACCAGTACAAATCTAAATATTTGTTTCAATGAATTTTGTAAAATGTTGTAATGAAGAAAAATCTTTCAGTTGCTCTTTAGTTCTGCGAAAATGAAAGTTTTCATGAGAGCTGCTTGCTTGGACAATAATTTTATTGGTTTGGCATATCAATTTAGTACATCCTTAGTGAAAGGTTTGGGGCTGAGGTTCATATTTCTGTGAATACAGCATCTCTTTTACCTTTTTTAACTTCACGTTGGCTTTACTTCCACCAACCTATCTACTGCCATGGTACATTTTCTTCAATAGGTTGATGGAATATGAAGAACTGAGAATGTTTCTGCTGCAACAGTTGAACCAATCTACTCAAGATGAGGGAAATCAGGAATATGTCGAGGATATTGTGAGTAGCAAACAATAATATGGGATGGGAGAATGAGTCAATTGAATTCTATAAAATGTTCAGCCCTACATGAGATTGAAGTTTTTTTCCAGACCTGTGAACTATGGCTATGGAGTTGGAATTTAGAATCTGTCATGTTCAGAATTTCAGACTTTCAATGATAATAATCTGTGTCAAATTATTGATGGTTTTGAGTCGGAATAAATATCCTCTCAGTTTTGCTTTAGAACAATCAGCGATTTTTCTATTTTTATATCAGGTTCTGAAAATATATGAAATTAAAGTAGTTGGAAATCATTTATGTACCTGCATTTGTAAGTATAGCAATGGTTTATTTCTCCTCTCCTAGGAAGTGAATTACAAAGTTTATCGTGGATTGTCGGAGTTACTGAAATGTGTTGTAGCGGGATTGGAACATTCATATAGAAGTCTGCATGGTTTGGGTGGGTTGGCTTCTGCCCTGCAGCTGCTGGAAATCACTCATACACATTACTACTGTAAAGGTTTGTTAACTACCTAGCTTCTGGTCCATTTCTTATTGCCAAGCTCAAGGAATCACTTTTGATTGTGTTAGTGGGCTTTGTGGTAAACCTGCAGGTTAGAGATTGTGCTACTTGTACATTTCACAATATTATATCCGTCTGCAGAAATCAAATCAACTCATGCCGGAAATACATCTTCCGATCAAGACGCAGCCAGTGTTCATTCATTTGATGCTGAAGGTTCAACCGGAGTCATGAACTTTGACACCAAGTCAATTGCAGACGAGATTGCAAGCATTGGTTAGTAATAACATCTATTTAATATATTATTTTTTATTCTCGTTGCATGATTGTTGGATTGGGAAAGGAAAGGTTAGTTTCCTACTGATAAAATTCTTCATTAGCTATGGAATGGAGTGAATTAAAATAACCCAATTTAGGGAGGGGGAATTTACTACCCAAACATAACAAACTATTGGCCTTTCATCCAACCTTTTCTTGCAACAGCGATGTCCGTGCTTGTATTAATTCACAATGTGAACACAGGAAAAAGAAACTAAACCTAGAAAAAATCTTGGTGGCATTCGGCTTATTGGTAATTATGAAGTAATATTTGGTTGCATAGGTTCAAAAAATTTTGGTCTGTTCCCTCAAATGTAACCCTATTTTACATCAAAATGGCAATCGTCACCTTTGGTGGTCTGATAAAACTTGAACTTTCATGTCACTGCTCTGCGGCAAAATTCAGAACTTCAGATCTTTTTTTAATTCCGTTTGAAAAAGTTACAATGACTGACCTCATGGCAATCGATATCTCTTCTCACACGAAATCTTCAAAAATGTGATTTGAAGCTTTATATGCTAGTATGATGTTCGACAGGGTTGAGCTTCTCAGCAGTCACATTCTGCGGTCGAGTGCCACTAGACTGGATATTAATGCGTAGGCAATTTGTATGTATGAAGTGAAAAATAACGAAAATGAGCGTTGGTGGGCGATGTGAATATTTTCACGATTACTCGTGACAAAATGGGCCTTTCTTATCCCTAAACCAAGATCTGTTTATCATACAATTCAATTCCTTGCACATAGAAGGTCACATAACTGCTCTATGACATAAGTGAATCTCTAACACAGTAAATAATTTGCACTTACAGTTCACAATATTGGAAATCTTGGTATGTTATGCATGGATGTCATGCCTCAGTGCTTTTGTAACGCATGGTTTAACATCTTGTTTGAATAATCAATTGTTTACTTTAACAAATCCACCTCTTGATTCTTTGTTGGTGGATCTTGAAGCTAACTGTTGCTGAAATACGCTACCAATAGTGGTGAATATGATTTCATACTTATAGCTGATAGCCCATCGTATTGCGAACCATGGCATCTCATCTGAGAATCAATTCTGACTGGATTTTGGATGGCATTAGCATAGATTTTTTCATAATACAGAATGAAAACAAGTGAAACTACGAATTGAATTTGAAGAAGCTCCTATAGAAAACTGTCTAGAGTTTATAGTGAATTTTTGACTCTTTAAACTGTGTCTGTTGAATGTTGTTTCCTTCAAATCTCCTCAATTCTGTCACATTTTGTCTTTCTGTTTCTGTGAATATTGATATTCTCATATTTGCATTTATCATTGATTCTGTTTTGTTTCTACTAAGACAGAAATCTTATGACCAATCATTCTGTTTCAATAAAATAAAGCCTTTTTTTGCAGCATCATCGAAGAGTGACTCATCAAATTCACAGAAAGACAATGCAAGTGTGAGGAGTGTCCAAGCCGTCATTGCACAGGTGAAACTTCTCAGTCTGTTCATAGCTATTTGTTTGATTAGGATACAGTTGGAACTTTATCCTTCATATAACTCGGGAAACTTTGCCATTGATTCTGATTCTAATTGTTCCAAATGAAATTGTTTTGCAACTGAATCAAGATTTACGCTCTAATTACTCTTCACTGCAAAAATGATGATGCAAGAAATGTCTTAATTTTTTAGCCATTTTGTTTGAATTTCTCATGATATACTGTCTTCACTTGTGCAGGATAAATCTGATACTGGAAGTGTTGCTAGCGATGCAAGTGCGGCCTCATCGACAGAGGTTCGATTCAGAAACGGGAAATTTATTCGGATTGAGTCAGACATCGGTGACGATGAGCAGAGAGTTTATTTGAGTCAAGCATTGCTCGGTGAGTTACCTTAAAAAACATCTGAAAGTTTCAGTTTTCCATTTTAAGAAGACCCAAGATGTTTCGTTTCGAACCTTCAATCATAATTATCAAGTTTGGCGGAAGAATTTAGTATTTACAAAGCTTCCCTTTCAGTGAATTCCGAGTGGGCTGGTGGGCTCATGCAAAACCATTCACAAATACCTGAACCAAAATCTCCAAGTCGTTGTTTTTTAATATTTTTTCATAGACTCATTTTCCCCTTTTAAACAATGGTTCAAAATATGTTAGGCCAACACTAGACAATTATACTTTGTAATAATCTGATGTATTTCTGTCTCTTATGCTGCTATATGGAAGGTCACAGTAAAAACTCTATCTTTACTCAGCTGGAAGATCAAGCTCTGGAAGCCACATTTCACCTGAGTATGATATATGTGTTGTGTTGTGTAACTTTACAAGAAGAAATTTTTTTCCCAAGCATTCTGATCATTAATATTGAGCTGCATTGCTCTTATATTGTTCGGTTCTCATCTTGCAGAGAAAGCATCTCAGGAGAGACATAGATATATGCTATAGTTGCCCCTCTTATCTCGTTCAAACCTATGTTGTATCATATCATATGTATCTTGTTGCGGTTCATAACTACTTCTTTTCCAATTCAGGTAAAGATCGGACAAGTTTATGGGACGACATGGCATTCTGGGAGCAGATGTTCCTTGATGCTGTGGCTCTTGAGAGGGATGCTGTGGGAATGGATCAAGGGCCTATGGATATGATGGAGAGGTTAGTTAGGTTTTGCTATGCAATGAGTATTTATTTTGTTTGCTTGAAGCAAAGAAGAAAATATTCTTATAGCAGTTACAAAACTGGTATTATTTGCTCAACTGCCGTGATTAATATTAGTAAATGCATGTGAAGTCTGAATCCTTCTCATAGATATCGATCCCTGGCAGTTCATGAGAAAAGAAGGTTGGAAGAGGAAGAAGACCGCTTGCTATCGACAATGCTGTATAATATGGTGGCTTGTATGATCATGATGAAAGTTCTCAAGCCGGAGATAAAGAAAAAAGTAAGTAACCTGGTTGTAATGATCTTATGGTTGATGATGTATTGGGATTTTTTTCTGTTTCACCGTTTTATTTTATGGTGATCAAGGGTTTGGGACCTGTTAAATGTGACAATGACCAGTGCTCGCACAGCAGTTTTGGTCATTAATCCAGTTGGTCATTAAAGTTGCCAAACTAAGGGCCGGGCTTATATGCGCATAATTCTGATCGAGCTTGAACTAATTAGGATTTCATAAATTAATACGGCAAACTCGAACTGAACGATATTATTATTGACGACGTCTGCCTAACAAATATATCCGCGATAGATACTAAATAATATTTAAGACCTATTACTATATTTTAGATCTAATACGCGCTTATAATTTCATATGGTCAGAACCAGGTAATGTTTGTTTCAAATAGAATAATACTACAGCATTAATTCTCAACAATAAAACTGTAATTTCTATCATTTTAAACAACCATTTAACTGAAAGGTTGAAATAACATATTAATATGGTGTGATAAATACTGCGCTGTAATTCCATGGGTTAGACAACAGCTGTGTTTTCCGTTTTTTCCTGAATCAGCAAAACGGAAGGGTCATGAATCAATCACTTTATCCCGTGGTAGACGTTTTCTTTCTGAAGTGCTGATATCAGGCAGGGAGTGCTTCATTGCACCCGCCATGTTTTTGTTTTTAAAAGGAATGAGACAAATAACAGCTGGTATACAAAGTCAATTAAATAATCTTTAATCAGGCACTTTGGCATACATTGTAAAATATATCAGCCCACATATGAAGCTTACACAAATCATGTTTGAGAAGACTTGCGAAAAATAACCAAATTTATTGCTGTGGCCACTCAGGATGTGGCTACTCAGGATATCTCGACTATGTTAATATAAAATAATGATTGTAGAATATTTTCAATCAAAAACTTTCCCATGTTATATGTACTTCAAGTCGGCCTGATTTAATTCCTTTCGTGTCGGCAGTAATTTAGTTGTGCCGCAAAGTGCTGTCTTCCATTAAGATAAAACAGATAATATAATAATCGAAAATTGTTTTAATCAAAATGTGGACAGGGGTGATAGAATGTGTGTGCTATATTTCATATTAACATAAACATTAAAAACAATACAAGACAGTAGCGAATAGCGATATTTGAATAATAAATTTGAATTGAACATCATTGACTGTAATAGATACGATTTGTGTTACGATTTGTAGAAATGGCTTATATGCAAATTTTTATAAATTCACTATTTTTAAGCCGTTATTATGGAGTCGGCTTATATGCGAGATGTGCGTATATGTGAGAATATACTGTGAATATATATTTCTGACCTATTCTTCATTTACTTGTATTCTCCTGCAGATACGTAGACTCCTCGGCAAATCCCACGTCGGGCTTGTACAGAGTGCTGAAATAAATATACTGCTGGATCAGATATCCAGTTTGAGTGATGTATATGTGGATTTGAAACCTTGTGGAAGCCGCCACATCCGGAAACAGTCATTTGTTGTGCATTCCGGAACAGATACTGGAGGGGATGTTTTATTCATGGAAGTGAGAATATATTTACTGTACCGATAGATGGGGTGACAGCTCCATTAATGGAGGTCTAGCATAAGCATGCATTTACTAACAAACTCCAGCACGATATCTAATGAGTATCTCACCATCTGTGCCTCACTCACACTGCAATACCTATTTCCATATTCCAGGTATGTGACAATGCAATCATTCTGCGCACAGGGTTCGGAACAATTTGTCAACGTTGGTGGTACGAGAAACTCATCAATATGACATTCTGCCCCAAAACAAAGGTTTTATGTCTCTGGAGAAGAAACGGGCAGGAAACCCAACTTAACAAGTTTTACACAAAAAAGGTGAGGTGCATAGATGGGTATGAGAGTCATGGAATCGATTTACTTTTCTCCGATCTTTATCAGTTATTGAGATAACATGGATGTAAGTGAATGGTACCAGGTATGATTCCAGTGCCTTTCGACTGTATTTAACCAAAATCGGTTCATGCTGGTCACCAGACAAGATTTTGAGTTTCAGAAATGTATTTGCAAATGTGTGCAGCAATATTTTTAGCAAGAAATGTTTGACCATTCAAGATTAGTCAGCTATAAGATTGTAATGTTCAGCATTGCTGATGAGTAAGAGCCATCACACTGAGTCATTGCATAACATATGAATCAACGATATATATCAGGCAAGTAAGATCAAATTAAAAGTGCACTAAACCTGCTGCATCGTATTGTCTAAATCATTTTATCTCAATTCATAGATGAGGTAAAATTCAGTCTGCAGTAAAGTTTCTCCAGAAGCAAAATTAGCTCAGACTATATTGGTTGGTTTTATCCAGATAAGGCAGTAAGCGCTTACAATTTCAGCTCAGTCTAAATGGTACAGTACTCAAGGTACAGATGAACAAAGTAACCAGGTATCTGTCATTCTAGTTCATATAGGGAGTTGCACAACGAAAGCAACATTCTCGATAACATTTATTCGAGCTTATGCTTTGTTTCAATTGCGTGAATTTCATACAATTTGATAAGGTGATGACATAAGATGTATTTAGATTTTTTTTATTACTTCTCGTTGCGTTATTGTTAAAAATTCTGTAGTTTATATGTGAATTATTTGAAAACCTGTTTTTTTACGTCATAACCTTGGTATCTTCTATAGCAGCGGTTCCCAAACTATGAGTTGCGAAAGAAATCTTAGTGGGTCGTGAAAAGATGTAGAAAGCTTTGATTAATTATGCTGGTTATTAGGATCGGTGGCGACTCGAATACGTAAATCTTAAAAAAAAATTGAATTGAAATTCTAATCTGTGAAAGTTTCCTTTTTACTCAAAGGAAAAAAATTTCCTTTTTACTCTTCTCAAAGGAACAAAAATTTGCTACACAAAGAATGACTATGTGGCTTTTTTACGCATAGCAGTTTTGTACACTGTACAGCACTTCTTACCGTGTTTCCCCGTAACTTAGACAGGATTTAGATTCATTTTCTTTTGAAGAATAGCACTATTGTTTTTTTGTTTTGGAAGAGGTCTTTTGTGTTCATTTATCGAAAATAAAATTACATTGTAGAAAATCACGAGATTTTTTGATAAACATTATATAAAAACCGACATCCATTGTTTTTGTTTGTATTTCCTATACAAAAATCAAGTGACAAATATCATAATTGTGATTGTGACATCACACAATCTTAAATAGTGATGTGATCTTCACCTTACCTCAGGTCATTGGAACTTTCCTCTCCCACACATTTTAAATTTATTTTAGGGTAGGGTTTAATTAAAATCATTTTTATAATTCAAATTAGGTCTTATTTTCAGACCAGGTCCTATTTTCGAGGAAACACGGTAGTTTTGCGATGATTAGCCATTGCTGTGTATTTTCATAAAAAGTTAAATGGGTCGCCAAAAGCTGTGGTAATAAAGAGTGGGTCCCAACTCTAAAAAGTTTGGGAACCACTGTTGTATAGTAATATCTTCATTATGCCCTTCTATGAGATTGTTTTTTGTTATTCCTTCACACTCTAACACTATTATTTTTTTCAGTGTCGGGAACTCTACCATTGTGTTAAGGAAGCAATGGAGAAGGCTGCCGCAAGACATAATGGTAGGGGATCAATATTTGTTCTTACTGTGCTGGCACTGCTATGATTATACGACTTTTTAAATGCGCTAATTAGCAATTTCCAAAGGTTTGTGTAAAATATTAGCAATTAATATTTCGGTGGTTAGGAGGTACTTTGATCTGACACAGCCTCCCCAGTTTGTTGCTCATCAAATAAAAGTCTGAGCATATGAACAGGCGGAACTTCAAGCTTCATCAACATTAGCCCGGAATAATCTTCGCTTCGTTTTATTCATATTGGATGAGGAGTTGTTAATTGTGCCATCATTATTTTTCAGAACCAGAATTAGGAGGAGAATTTCCTGTTCAGGATATGAAGACTGGAGAATGTGGATTGCTTCAAGTCACTTTAGATGGAATAAATTTAAAGCTTAGTTCTAGTCAGGTATGACATATGGTTTTGCTCTCCTTCATTGTACAAAATTTTCCAAACTACTAATCTTCACTTTGATATTTTTTTCATGCTATCCCTGCACAGGATGAGACTAGGCAGGTAATTGCATAATTACAATTCCGTCTTTTTCAAATCGACAATTCACCTGATTTGTAAATACTAAAGTTCTCAGCTGGGTATATAGTATATTTGGCAGAGGTAGCCTAGTTGCAGAGTATTGGCTGAATTTGGTAAACCTGTTGGGATCAAATTGCGGAGTTGTTGATTGCTGTGGCGAAATCGCTCTTATATTTCCTGCATTTGAATATATATTTGTTCAAAAGTAATCGCAAAACAAACTAGAAATTCACATAACTTATAATCTTTGGATGGCCACCTATCGATAGTCCTATGTTCTTACCACCATGATAGTGATTCCATTGATCCTTTGTTTGCTTCTAGGTTTTCCTCGATCTAAAAACAATCAGAAAATGCAACACAGTTAAAGGAGTTTTCATACTCGAGCAATACAGTGAGTATTTTGGTTTTTACGAATTGGATACAGATATTTTTTATTTTTATATAGTACAGGGTGGTCCAAGGTTGTCGTCGGCCTCGCGGGCCACACTATTATTTTTGTATTATTCGCAGGCCACAATAGTGTCAAGAATAGGTAAAAAGTGCAATACAAAACAAACACTTTTATTGTCCAATCACACAGATCATTATTTGTCATTTATCAAGTTAAAACCTGCAAAAACCACCAAAAACGTTCGAATATCTTACTATATGTACATTTGGTACTCGTGAAGTATGCGCACCAAGATGCCGCATAACCTGAACCCTAAGCTGGTACACAACCTGAGTTCAACCCGAGTTCAGGTTGTGCGCCATCTTGGTGCACATACTTCAGGAGGTCTGTACATTTAGTGTAAGATTTCAAACTCTTCATAACAGAGAAAGTGCTCTAAGGAGAAAATACTGTTTAAATGGCCACCGATACGACTTGCAGAGATATTTTAAGCAAGCATTGTGGTATTCCCCTTCCCATATCCAGTCAAAACTATGTTTGAATTGGTCAGCTTTCTTTTCAACTCATGTTTACGAAATAACTCACAAATAACCGCAGACTAAATTTTCTGACATAGGTTATAGACAGCATTTTTTGAAATACTGTTTAGTCCTGGTTGCACTTGCAGGAATTATATTGTTCGGCCATTACATTAATATTTAGTTATCATAGTTTACTCATTCGACTTTTGTTTTCTATGAAGCCTATTTTGTTAGTAGATATTCCCGACCAAAAAATAGAAAGCCAGTTAACAATTTAGACTAGACGAGCATATTATTCATCTTCACTAATTGCCTCAGCTACCAGTAACATTAGTCAATTTGATGATGTAACAACATGCCAAAAGATTTTTCTGGTTATTTTTATAACGAACCAACACCAAATGCGATTCTTTGTTTACCCCCATGCAAATGCGATGCGGGCCACAGATAATGAAGTGGCAGGCTACATGTGGAATTGGACCACCCTGATATAGTATGTTTACTTGTCTCATCCCGGCTAAGGTGTGTCGGTCAAACGACTCTGATACAGGTGTCCATTGGCTAGATGCTCATATCTGAATATTTCTTCGTTGCAAACTTGTATCTTGTATTTATCCATAAGCTAATCCATTTATCTAATCTTTTTCAAATGAATCTATTCCGGCTGTAGAAGTGGCAAATTTTAATGGCCGAAAATTTTTTATTTTATGCGACTTTGTGCTTTCAAATGATATTGACTGTTTTCAATATTAACAAAACTGTCAATAGATTGCCATAGTTTCCACTTTGGTACTTTAACAGAACGTGATACAGACGAAGTTACTCTTCATAAATTCAAGTCACCTTTAGCAAGTGAGATATGCTATGCTGTGTTATGCCTATTCAGTTACGTAGCAGCTGGACGAAGTGCTCAATCATTGCGGGAGTAACTCGAGACACAATATTACTCTCGTCATCAGCAAGTTTATCTCTGTATTATGAGATTCATATGACATAGAAGCGATGTTATTTATTGATGTTGATTGGACAATAACATTTTAGGGCCGTTGTGGGCAAGTTCAGGCTATGACTGATTTAGTTTATTTTTATGTACGTACATTTTTAGTTTTGTAGATGTCTTTACCTTGTTTCATATTTATATAAAAGATGTATTTTTATTTTACTTATGTTTATTTTAAGATTTGTGCAAATTTATAAACTGTTAATTTTGAATACGACAAGCGGTAATGGTTTTGTCACCTGGTCATAAATCCAGTAATGCTGGGTGATCGAGATTTGCAGTTCATTTAATAATTTTGTTGGAACAGTCTTTCACACATTGAATAGACTGAATATTTTACGATTTGTATCGATGTTTAACTCATTTGTAACGTTGTCGCTCATCTCATAGTCACTGTACTTGAGGTTGTTATTTAAGAAAGGGTAGAACAATTTTTGCACAATAATGTTAAGTGTCTGTTGTTATTATATTATAGGTTTTACACAATTTAGTTCACTGAAATATAACAAAAGTTCAGATTAAATTCTTTGCACTTGAGAATTTTTGATTCTCAAATTTCATAATTTTGACCTCAATTTTATTAATGACCAAATAATTCATTTCACACAGGAACATAATTGTTCATTGTTTCGAATATTGTACAATGTACATAACACCTATTCCATTCATATGCGTGAATACATCAAAAAATCAACTGAGAACGAAAATTTTCGAAAATTCTACATCCGTCTTGTGCAATTGGTGTCGGTGTTGGTAATTTAGTTTTCATTTCATCTATCTTGACCAAAAAATGTGCGTTTTTAAAATTCATTAAATTTCGGGATGTTGCAATGAATTCCCTGCTCTCAGCAATAACTCTATATCATTTTGTGACTTGCTATCTCAGACATCTGAAATTAAATATTTGAAAATGACACTTGTGTGAGTGGGTCATTGTATCTCTGGTCATGGGATGGTGATGTAATCTTCTATCGCACTAAAGATGGAAGTCTGCGTGATGAATGCGAATGAAACGACCATTCATGGATTTGAGCAGCCGCAGATCCTACCATGTCAGCCATACCACCAGGAAGGCCTGACAGCCGACGATTGGGTAAATCAGTGGTGATTAAGGAAGTCACTGGCATTCAAGTGAGTCAGTAGTGATTAAGTAACTCTGTGGCGATTAGGTAAGTTCGTGACAAATAAGTAAGTCATTGGCGATAGTAAGGGTTCGTAAAGTTGGCAGTAGAACATTCCTCATTATGGACATCATTTGGTTATAACTGTATGGGAGTTTTTGGAATCTGGAGGTGAGAAAATAACATAACTACATAAAGCTGGAAAGTGAATACCGTACCTTGAAGCATTTTCCAAAACAACAGAAGAATGGCATAAATTAACGCTTCCAGACTTCAGCATATCCAATATCAAAGTTAAAGAGGGTTCACTATATGCAGCTCTTTGCAACATGCTGGCAGGAGGTTACAATTTTAAAGACGATCACAAATTCTACATTTGCACGCGTGCAATAAAAGTCATCTTATTTAAGGCCCAAGTGTTCATGTTGGATTACTTGATTTCAAACACAGAAACAAGTGATGTCCTAGTACTGCTGTTTTGCAAACACCCTCTTGCAATTATGCAATGCATACATATTGCTTACTAATATTTCAAATGGATATAACTCATTTCCTTTTTTATTATGAGCTTCTATATCAGACATGGGCAAAGTACGGCCCGTGGGCCAAATCCGGGCTTTGGGTAATTCAATCTGGCCCGCCTGATGCTGCCACAACCTGAGTGAAATCAAATTTTGATGTTTCAGCTATAATAGCTCAAGGAATTTGTTAAGATCGCGGTTAAATTTAGTTTTGGCGCGAGGCTTATAGTTTTCCACCTTTGCTTTGTAACACTGTTAATATTGATCATTAAATGTAACTTTTTACGTCACACTTACATGGCCCGCCAGTATGAGTGGGCAAAATTTTTGGCCACATTTTTGCTAAGTAAGTGTTTAATTGAGCTTGCTTTTACTGTTTCATAAATTCTTTTACATCTTCATGTTGCTTACCAGTATTGGTAGTTGTTTGAATATTGTTTTGGCAAATGGTTCCAATGTATATAGCTATTTTGTATTTTTTCAGGCGCACTGTCCTAATCCCTTTTTCTGTGTTCACTACTAGTCCCTATTTGCTTTTAACATTGACATGCTTTGTTCGGTCTTTGTATTTACAGCTGTTTCAAGCCTGTCTGTAGGCTAATATATCACTTTATTTTTGTGCTTATTGAACAGCAATATGCTGTGATAGCTAACACATTTTGGAGGCCCTATTTCATAACCATAAAAAACACAATCCCATTTGCATAGCACTCTTTTTCAGATTTGCTGTGTTCGATATTCGTTAGCAAACTTATCAAAGCAATGCATCCGTGGATTCAATTTGGAATATTTTTTAGTGATTTTGTTATGTTACACTTTATTCCCAATGTTCAAAACTTTATGCTGCCTTTTTTTTCATGGATGCATTTTTATTTGTTTACCATACCAGACATTTGATAAATTGTTGGTGGATTTTTTTTTGTGTCTCTGAAAGCAAGATTTTTCTACAGCTATTTACTTATTCAGATATACACAATCTAGAATTTGAGGGAAGGGCACAATATAGACAATTTCAGTATTCTGGGAATTGACTCACTAACCCACAACGAACTCCATAGGAAAAACAAAGAGCATTTCTGGATTAACAAAATGAAGACTCGGCAACTACAGAGAATCAATAGAAAAGATTAAAACTCAAACGGAGAGAGGCTTTAACGCAAATATAAAACCAAAAGACAAACAGTACCATCACAAAAACAACAACAATACAAACAAACGAGGTTCAAAAACAAACAATGCAAACTACACAAATAGACGACCTCCAACCCAACCACATCAGCTAGACCGGCAGTTCTGAGATGCTACGGATTAAATTGCCCATCCCCATAGCATCTAAATCAGTTATAGAAAACTTAATATTTTGTATTTACAGTTACATATTGTATTGTTTGAAGAAGTTAGACCATGATCTAACGAAAGCTCACAAATATACTTACTAATTCGTTGAAAGAGATCGAGGTATTTTTACAATGGCGATTAGGTAAGATATTAGCGATCAAGTAAGTAAGAGTGGATTTAATAAGTTAGTGGCGATAAAGTAAGTCGATGGTGATAAGGCAATTCGGTAAGTCATTGGCACATACATATATACAATAAATATATTCAGCAGCAATTAACTTATCGAAGGCATGACAGCTGATGATATTTAGGCGCTTACTGCATTAAAGACCCACAATTATTGAATATAATGTAATAAACCAGGGTCGTCCAACCCGCGGCCCGCCGAAGGTTTCCGAGTGGACCGCGCGGTATTATTCAAATCCCAATGTCTTTCACAAATCGGAGCCATTATTGAAACCTCTATCAAAATAATTGTTCAAACGCGCGAGAAGCACCACCTGTTTGTTTGTGGGTAAATACACAACTGTTCAGGATGCTTGAGTATATTATAGATATAACAGAGACATCATAGATCACAACACTTAACAGCTAGCAGCACAAGCAGAGAGAGAGCAAGCAAGCAAGGTCAAAGGTGACAAGTATAGCATTAATAATGACGTCATAAATATCATCTTACATCCCCTTTTCTTTAAATAAATATCAACACAACACAACGCTAATGCACATAATAGCAATGCCAACTGAAAAGTTCAAATCTCATTTACAACAATTTGTCATCAATCAGCAAAGCTACAAAATGCAATATTCACTTCACAAAATCACTAGAGAAATATCTTGGATTTGGCCTTATTCTCCTTCCACTTCTAGTGAAAATGTCATACTGGGCACAAAATTAGAACTTCCATTAACAATATTAGATTGACTTGGAACATCAGTATTTGAATCAGATAAATTAGAATAATCGATATCTTCTTCTGTTCGAGGATAGTAAGATTCATTTGCTTTAAGGATATGTCTTCGATTGCGACGATATCTTCTTCCATCAGACTCAACAATGTAAGATCTTGGTAAGTGATAATTCTGGCATATGATACCTTTCTGGTCATATTCTTTTTTAGTTTGCATTCTCACTATATCACCAGTGTTCAAATTAGGTAGCAGTTTTGAAGACTTGTCAAAATATTTCTTTTGTTGGTTTCTTTTGTGCAGCAATTGATCATGCACTTCTTTTGGATTTCTGATTTCAGGATTCAACAATTTTTTTGATTTAGGTATGTCACCTTTTGTTCGACGTGATATTAGACGTTGTGCAGAAGAGCCAAGTATTTTATCTCTAGGCACATTTTGAATATTTAATAGAGCAAGGTAAGGATCAGATCGATCTCGTCTGCATTTCTCCAATAAATTTTTAGATTGTTTTACAGCATTTTCAGCTAGTCCATTGCTTTGAGGAAATTCAGGACTACCCCAGATAGCACATCTACGTCGGAACAAACATGGCCGAACGTTGTTCGAACCACCGGCCCAATAATGGCGAACAACCATGTTCCAGCGAAGATTTGGCCGCTGGGCCAACGTCGTTCCATTCGCTGTAATGCAACCGCAAACGGTCGGGCCAACGTAGGCGATACGTTGTAACACAATCGTGACATATGGCTGGGCCTACGTGGATGACACGTTGTAATACAATCGTGGCATATGGTCGGGCCAAGTTAGGCGATGTGTTGTACAGACCACTCGTATGGATCCATACTACATAGAAATTTCCCACTAATCTAACATTATTTATATAATAAAAAACAAAAGATAACAAAATGTCTTTATTTCACAAATATGTATACATGTAATAAAATTAATCGGAGTTCGTTGCCAGATCATCCAGAGCTGAAAAATATAAAAATTCTGTGTTAAATTGCAGTATTAGCAAATTACAGCACCAGAGTTCAAAGCCTAGTCTGAATGACTGCATCCCAACAAATTTTCAGAGGAGGAATCTTACGCCAAGTTTCTGCAGTCGCAAATGTTTGAGTGAAGCTTACATTGACAAGACAATAATAATTGAGAAATACAGAAATTCTTGATTCCGCAAAGATGGCGTAGACAATGTTTTAAGGGGAATATTTGTTGGAGGGAATAATGATGATTTGAGATTTTATCTGACTAAAATGTCTTCAAATATTCCATGTTGAAATTCATCTATCTTATTAGAAACATCATGCACCATGATTAGTCTATTTGTTTAATTGATTTACAATAAATTTATTTGTAACTTCATCATTTGCTGTTGTGCTAGGGGGGGATGATAATGTAAAAAGTACTGTAAGGGAGCGATGATACAAATAAGTTCGAAAACCACTGTTCGCCATTATGCACCAAACACTGGCAACATTGGATTGGCAATTTGGCACTTGACTCTACCATAATCAGCTTGGCGATATCTCCTTAATAAATATTTTTCTATACTGTTCACTTTTGTATACAAAATCATTATTCAATTTCTTTACTGTTCACAGTTGTTTACAAAATCATTATTCAATTTGACAATCATAATGATAAAAATGAATGGTGTGGCAACTGGCAAGTACATTTTGTTTACTACCTAACTTAACTGCTTACTAACTTATCTAAATTTTCTCGCCTGTTTTATTTTATTATATCTCTGTTGTTGTTGTGTGTGTGTAACTTAATTTAATTCATGAACACGATAGGCATCTTTTTGGCAAAACCTTATATTCTTTACGCTTTGATCTTAAGTAAGGTTTTGTTTTCACTCCAGATTGTCAGATTCTATTTAATCAATTTTTGTTCATTTCCTTTATGAATTATCTTAAGCTGATTTGGAGTAAAAATAATCTTATACTTATAAAATAGAAGAGGGTAGAGCAGAGAAAGATGGTGGTACAATATGATAAACATATTACATACCTTTATGG